TCGGATTTTATACTTTATCCTCTCCGTCATTTTTCGATCCATCGAAGCGCCGAAGTTCGCCTCGGAAAACTTGTCGGATATACATATATTAAGCCTCCGATAACACCCGGTGAACCTTTGATCCCGCCGTTGAGGAAAAAATGAGCAATACGGCGAACTCTCACTCTATTTAAGTCCACTGCCGATCCGTGCCATCCCGTGCAAATAACCAGTGATATATATTCGTATATGCGCTGACGAGAGGAGAGATGCCTGTTTAGTCTCTGTTCGCGCGAAGAGTCAACGCGGATCGATTGCGATCGGCGGAGATCAAGCAGAGTTCACTGTCAAAGAGATAAAACTTTCCTTATCTGCAGACCGAAAAGTCCGATATGCATATAGAAAGGCCGAAGCATTTCACTGAAATATATATATATTTTTTCAGTATTATATATATATTCTATATCTTCTTTTTTTCGCCCTATTTTTATCATTTTTTTTCTATATATTATTTCACTTTTATCTATATATTTTTATAGTGATTTTTTTAAAAATTATGATACAGTATACATGCTTTTTTATTTACAAGTGGATGAAGAAAATATAGTCTGGATTATATCCATCATATAATTGTTTGTGTAAAATACATGTTATTTATATAATATATACATAATAAATGAATATATATATATAAAATATGTATATATTATATGTAGACATTATCATGCGAATTATATACAAATTTTATTAATTATATTTATATTCATATTATTTATATTTATTAACTCAGGTGCATCATTATATCAAATGACGTCATTAGACGTCAAAATAACGTTTAATGACGTCAATTTGCTACTTGGGATTAATATACATATAAAGTAATTATTTTAATTTGTTGTCACGGTGTTATATAATACATCAGGAAATTATCGAATTTGAGTTAAAAACTGAATAAAACCAGTGTTGATTTTAAGTTAGGATCGCATTATTTTACGCAAATTTTTAAGAATAAATAGTGAACGGTAATTAAATTTCCGGGCGCGCGTTTTAACGTAAAATTCTATTAAAATTAATTAAAAGACAAAGTTCCGTTGTACATATCTCGAGGGGCTTAAAACGTCAGAACTTTTAGATATCATTAAGCAGCCCTTCTCGTAACCGCTGATGCATCATGGAAACAACATCCTGTTTAGCGGTTGTTGTCGAACTTTAAGCATTCGCCATCTCTCTTTTTCTTGTTTTGTCGGTTTCTCTTTCTTTATCCCTTCCTTGATTCGATCGCGCATGACGTCATGGATGAAATAGCTATTTTCTAGACATATCTAGCTGAAATTAAAAGGATATTTTGGATGATTATAAGAATCTATAAAGTATATAATATATATATATATATTTTTTTTTTTTTTTATTTAATTGTCGTGCTTAGAATAATGCGAATAATTTGAAAGATATAAAAAAAAAACACGCGTATGTAAAATATAAAATTTTTAATTAATGTTATATGTTTAATTTTATAATTAAAAAAATCACATTTAAATTTTCCATCGCGTTCTATATTTATTATCGCTATAGTTTCATTTGTTTGCGTCCCTAGTCAGAGCTTCACGATAGCCCGAGCAAACTATAATGATATCATTCATCATTTCTAGGAAGCAAATATTTATTTCGTTATTTTATATTCCGTAGACAGAAATACGAGAAAACATTCGAGAAAAGAAATGATAAAATTATTTCTTCGCTGTTACTAAACGATAATCGATATTTATTATTTTTGGACACGACCGAAGCGAATGTATATGTTCGTGTGTGAATGTGTATGTGGTACTTACATATTCCGATCCACGAAAAGTATAACGAAGATATAATTAATCGAATATCAGAAAGTATTTTAAGATCGTGAAGATATTTAAAAAAATACGAAAATGGATTAATCGAAATGAAAATGTTTTGTAAAATATGTAAGATATGTAAATACGTAAGAAAAGGAAAGAAGTATAAATCTACATCGTACTGTGGAGATCGTCCCGCCTCTTCCGCTTCTCGATAAATGTCAAGCCAACCAACATCTACTCCAAGATAAGCGTGGAAAATTTTTCCGAACTAATTTACCCGAAATTCAGATTAAACAATCCCACGCGCGATACTTAAATCTTTCCAAATATCTATGGAAAATGTCGACATTCGATATTATTCGAAGATTTAAAAATATTCCGCAGTTTTTAAAATTATTCGAAATGACGATAAAAAAATTCGATATTTGTGAGATCTGCTGACTTTTGAACTTTAAAAATTAACTAAATTTATTTTTATAATTTTAAATTATATTTTATTATAAATGAGAGTAAGAGTTTTGATTTTTTCAAATTCGAATAAAACTTGTTAATTTAAAAATATTCTCATATAATACCACTTATATAAATATTTTTTTTCATTACATTTTTTACTTTATACTATAATAATTCTATTTATAAATAATCATTAGAATACTTATCTAATATATTCTCCTTTTTATAATAAATTTAATTTACCTGTTTCAAATAAATTAAAAATTAAATAAAATTGAAAATGATAATAAATTTTTTCTCAATTTTTGACTTATCAACAAATTAAAATTTGCATTATTATTTTAATTTGAATAATTTATCTACTCTATTTCTAATAACTTGATATCGTAAATATTTCAAATGTTTTTAAAAGAATTAAAAATTTTAATTAATTATTCTTTTTTAAATATAATGTTTTTATTAATTTATTTATACAAGTTATTATTCATATTTTTCAAGCTTATGTGTTACTGCTTACATATGAAATACTGCTATTCGGTTCCCTAAGGAGAGAAGAATCTTTCTCATTTTTTTAAAAATAAAATACGATTTTTTTATACAATATATGTCGATTACCCTATCCTAAAAATCAAGTAAGAAACGTATAAGAAAATCGTTCGTGTCTCCCCTAGAAGTTAAATTAGAAAAAAGAACCGGGACGTTAATTTAAGCGACAAGGACGATGCGACACATATGTTTCGACATATGGGTAGCAAAGGAAACTATGAATTTTCCCACAAGAGTCGTTAATGAATCGTAAAGACTTGGATTGGTCCTAGTAGAGATTTCTGACTTAAATACGACACGAGAAAACTTGCGTTCGGGTCCTATATAAAGAAAGAAGCTTTGTGTACGATGAAAAATACATATGCAACATATGACAAAATAAAAATATTTTTTAAGAATATTATTTAAAAATATATTATTATTCATATACATGTATAAATATTATTTATAAGACTGATTTGTTTTTGCAAATAAATAAAGTATTAAATTGAATACTTAAAACGTTGCTAGTTAAAAAAGGCTAGTTTGGGTCGAATTTAATATATTGTTCCTAAATAAAATATTGTTAATTTTATATAGTAGATTTTATATACTTGAATACACATAATATTCACTGTATATAATTACACATATTTTAAAATATTATATATTAAAAATTAAATATTATTTCAATATTATTTAAAATTAATTTGGTTTGCATATAAAACAAAAAATAAAATATTATTGATTTTATATATAATAATTGAATAGAGATATAATATTCTCATATATTATATACATATATATTTATATTTTTTTTAATTTTATAATATTATCTAATTATTATTTATATATTATTATTATCTTATATTACTAATTGTATACATATAATAAATTTATTATATAATATTTACATATATTATAATATTCTAAAAATTTAATATTATAATATTCTTACATGTAGTATATGGTATATACATGTATGTTCAAATTTTTTTTTTAAACCAAAGCTATTTTACATTTGATAATATAATCAGAGGAAATAGTTAATAGGAAAAATAGAAATTAAAACGATAGTGTCTTGGTGATAAGATGGTTCGTCTAACTAACAAAAGTCGAATATTTCGGTAAGTATAATCTCACTATATTTTATCACAAACAAACAAGAAAAAAATTTCAATAAGTAGTCGTTTTATACTAATTATCCCTCTCTCTCTCCCTTTCTCTATTATTATCTAATTATTAATATTTATATATTATTATTATTTTATATTATTAATTTTATACATATAATAAATTTATTATATAATATTTATATTATAATATTCTTATATGTAGTACATATATATATATATATATATATATATATGTTTGTGTGTGTATGTTCAAATTTTTATTTTTTAAAACAAAGCTTTTGTAATATCTGATAATATATCAGAGAAAATAGTAAATAAGAAAACACGGAAATTAAAACGAGTGTCTTGGTGATAAAAAAGATGGTTCGTTTAACTAACAAAAGTCGAGCATTTCGGTAAGTATAATCTCACTATAATTATCACAAACAAACGAGAGAAAAAATTTCAATAAATAGTCGTTTTTTACTAATTATCCCCCTCTCTCCCTTTCTCTATTATTATCTAATTATTAATATTTATATATTATTGTTATTTTATATTATTAATTTTATACATATAATGAATTTATTATATAATATTTATATTATAATATTCTTATATGTAGTACATATATATATATATATATATGTTTGTGTGTGTATGTTCAAATTTTTTGTTTTAAAACAAAGCTTTTGTAATATCTGATTATCAGAGGAAATAGTAAATAAGAAAAAACGGAAATTAAAACGAGTGTCTTGGTGATAAAAAAGATGGTTCGTTTAACTAACAAAAGTCGAGCATTTCGGTAAGTATAATCTCACTAAAATTATCACAGACAAACGAGAGAAAAAATGTCAATAAATCGTCTTTTTTTTTTTACTAATCATCCCTTCTCTCTCTTTCTCTCTTCTCGGGAGTAGAGGTCTCCTTTATCTCCCGCGTATCGCGTGGGGCCCGAATTACACACACACACACACATATATATATATATATATAATATATATAAAAATGAACCGAGAGATGTGCATATAGGGAGAAGGATTCGTGCGAGTCGGTGGTGGGAGAAAGCAGGGCGAGAGCATAAAAGCACGGACGTAGAAAAGCGCGGACGCTTTTGTCGTCGTGTTCGCCCGTGGCCGCCGATCGTGTCACCACCGCTTGATTGTGCTAAGAGAGAAAGTGGTGCCAAGAGAGCAAATACGTTCTGCGAGCGAGTACTTACTCGGGGGAAGAAGCCATGGGGCTCGCGAGGACGGCCGTCTTCGCTTGCTGCCTTCTCTTCCTGGCGGTGGACGCCTTGGGCGGTGAGTTAAACATCCCCCTTTCTTCTGCTTTCTTCAGCCTCTTCTCTGCGCAAAGTATATACTCTCAATTTAATCCCCGAGAAGGATGAACAGCCGACCGACCCTTATCTCGCTTTCCCGCCTCTATTCTTAGATGTATGATTACAAAAGTGTGAGAAGCTACAGGAAAAATACAGTTCGATTCTCGTTTATCTGGACGGAAAATTCTTTCCCAGATTACATAGCCAGACAGCTAGATAAATATCAAGAGAAAATACTCGTATTTTTTCATATATTATGATTAATCCTCCATTTATTTTATCTAATTTATTTATTTTCTTATATTTTTTACCTCGTACCCAGCCAGAAATGATAGTTAAATCGACGTCGAATCGATATCGATTCGATATCGATTCGACGTCTTTTCGACCGATCATTCCTGCGACTAGGTAGGATATATATAAATCCTTATATACATATATAAATTAATTCTTACATACGCATACACACATATATATATATATATATATACTCATATAATTTAATTAATCCGTATATATAAAAGAGGAATCAGAATAACTAATATCGTTCAAAACTAAAAAAAAGCATTTTTTCGAAGCATTGATTTTCAAAATAATTAATTCCATACTAATTAAAGATTAAATATTTAAAAAAATGTTACGACATAATTAATGCAATATTTAAAAAATGTATAATTAATTTTATACATTTTTAAATAATGTATTAATTTAAAAAATATATAATAAATTTAATGAAAAATAGTATCGCGAGTTTTCATTTTATTCCACCAGTTTCTTTTTTTTTACGTGGAAATATTGTCGGCATATCACGTATTTTTACAATTATAATTTTAGTTATAATTTCTAATTTTTTAAATATTTTTAAGAGAGAGCCGAGATAAAACGTTGCATTCACGATATAACAATTTCGCCCCGACACGCGTATTTAAAAGATTGAAAAGCACGGTTTGTGTCAGACCTTTCTAGAAGGCCGGATGGCCATGGTTTTCCATGAGTTTTAATTTTTCTATCAAGTTAAAGATTAATACGCGCGCAAGAGTTGATAGAAAAGGTCAACGCGCTCGGTGTCAGGTTTGAATATCATAAGGTTATTTCGCTCGTGTCAAGGATAAAGATTATCGTCGCGAATGGATGTTGAAATTGGTGATATATATTTTCGTGTGTGTGTTATTAAAAATATATGCGCGATAGGATCCCGAGAGAGATTCGCGGAACTTTATCCGCAATTGTGTGTTGCATTTAATGTTGCGATTAGCGATAAATTAGTGATAAATTAAAAATATTCTTTTTTACGATACATAATAAATCCCGATTTATGAAAAAAAAATTATCTTCCATTTATAGCCATGCGTTTTAAAGAAAGAAAAAGAGAGATTTGTCTTAATCTCTTTCGTAATAAACAAGTGTTTATAACTTTCTTTCCGACAAATCCTTCATCGTTTCTTTCTTGGCCGGCCTTTGCTCCAGCAGCTGATGATTCACTTATCGATACATAATTTATCTGTGCATTTCCGTTATGCATTTGTGATCTATACATTTTCTTCGTATTATTCTACGTATATATATGTTATATCATATTACGTTGCATTTTATTCCACAAGCGATTTATCGAGAAGTTGTAAGTTCCGCCTACTTATTTTATGTTAAACAAAGTATAAAACTTTTTATCGGCATACATTGAATGCGTTTAATATACTTTCTTATTACTAGCAGGAGTTTAAAAGAAAATTGTTTTTTCATTAAATTATACTCGCGTAATGGAAGAAAACGTTGGATGAATATTAGTTTCTTTATCGGCGAAATAGACTGAAAGGACGCTTAAGATTAAACTGTTTTCTAAATATACGATATATTTTGCATATTACTGCAATATTAAATATACGTAAAAAGTGTTAAAATGTATGTTAACAATATATTTAATATATTAACAATTTATAATTTTTTTACATATATTAAATATTGCAATTTTGCGAAAAAATCAAATACTGATATTTTCTTGTATCCAATTTTCTACAATTATTTGATATCTCTTATCGTGTATCTGTATATACATATATATTTTTTCAGGAAAATATCAGCTTTTGAATTTTTGCAAAAGTGCAATAGTAAATACATGAAAATTATATATAAATAACGGTAAAAAATCTAGTTATACCATCAAACTGTAAACATGTAGGCGCGATCATTGATTTGCAAATATTCTTCAAATCGGGTTTGAATACGCGTGAATGAACGAATTTATAAATATTGAGTGATATTATATTGCTTGGCAAAAAGTGGGCGATATAAAAAAATGGTTTATTCTGTAATTATAAGAGAAATTGATTTTACATTTTTGCTCTTTCAAACGCGATATGTTATGATGAATCCTCCATTTATTGTTACCTGATAACATTTTATCGTGCGTGTTTCCATATTTTTATTTTTAATTTATACAAGCGCAAAGAAAAATCGAGTATATATAATTAGCATAATTATTACTAATTACTTACATGTGCGCTAAAATAATTATTAGGATATGTAACGATTCTTTTTATGTGATTTTCTTTATAAAGTATTTTAGATGCAACAAGATATCTCATATTCTTCCACATATATGTTACATGAAATTATAGAAAAATTTTGTATATGGGAATTTTATATATATAATTCCCGTAATATTTAATATAATAATAAATATATAATTTAATTTAATAATAAAAAGTTATTGTAATATTACATGTATTTGGATACATTTCATCTATTCTTTTATGCAAATCATCAACGGAATGACTATAAAAAATAATTGAAAAAACATTGAACAATAATAATTAAAAAGGCATTTAAAAAAATAAGACGTATTAATATGATTTGCGAAAGAGAAGAAATACATATATGTATGTTAGATTATTCTCTCCCGAATGACAGGGCGAAAAATCGGTGTGAAATTCAAGATGGTGAAAATGCGAAGTTTTCTTGCGCGTTCTAAAAGTAACAAATAGCGGGGTTTAAAGAGTTATACGCACATATACCCGAGAACGAGGTCCCGTATCATTGAAACGATTACAGGTCCCCCGTGTTTGACCGGACATTTGGTAAATTGATCTGACGTCCCTCTACATCCCAGTAAAATAGAGCCGATCTGGCCGCGTTGCGATGTTCTCAAACGTTCTTCTTTCACCGCGCCGCGTTTTATAAAATAAAAGGGGAGGCCACGTGACGAATCATCGGCGCGTTTCGCGCACTTTTTTCACAGTCACCTCTTTCTTTTTTTATTCTCTTTTTTTTTGTCACGCCGGAAAATGGAAACAACGCGAGAGGGAGAGATAGATGGACCTTTTCACATGAATATTTTCCTTTAAGCATAATATCTCTCGCTATATCGAGTCCCTCAATGGCTATTGACGGTGTATGAAAAATTCCTCTGATAAATAATTACAATGGCGCGGTTGTGTGCGAGAGAGAAATATCCAGGCGCGATTGTGCCGGGTTAAAAATATATATACGAGAGGGATCATCGGAGGAGAAAGATCGACGTATGAAACCGCGATGCGTGAAATAAACGAGAAAGATAGGCGAGGACGCATCCTCTCCTCTCTCGGAGCATATGAAATATGAAAGTGCACATACATATACGTATGTAAGCTGCGAAATAATTTGCATAATGCACGCAATTAAGTGATACAACACGGGAGAGCGAAGCACCCCCTAATCGCGCGAGTCAGGACAGAGGAGAAATTACGGTTGCAATTGCGTTGGATTAGCAAAATCTCGACACGAGATTTTCTCTAAACGCATTACTATGATTTTTGATGTTGCATTATTCAGTTGACCGGGTGAAAGGTCGTGAAATTCAACAAATTACTTATATATTTACAATTTTATTTTATTTATTATATTTTTCATATTTATTTATTATATTATATATATTTATTAATTATATGTATTCATTATTTTGTTATATTTATATATTTTATTATATTTATTTATTTATTACGTTTATTCTTTTATTTATTTATTTATTTATTATATTTATTATTTTATTTATTTATTTGATTTATTATTATATTTTTATATTTTTCATATTTATTTATTTCAGATTCTTTTTTTTCTTAACACAAATTTAAATATGTTATTTTTTTATTTTCAACATTAAATATCTTTTATATTTCAAATAAAAAGAAATTTAGTAAAGCTCAACTGATATAAAGTTTATCTGACAGGAAAACCTTACAAACCGGAAAATTCCGATTTTAACGAAATTTACATACGTGTAGGAAGAATAAATGAATTTCGAAATTTTCAGTTACTGTTCAGAACGATTCTAAAGGGGTGAAGCTACCCTTCGTGTTTATATAAAAAAGAATCTGCTTTTCGCAGATAGCACATTTGAAATATAAAAAAAGAATATATTTTATAAAATAATTTTACGATAAAAATATCCATCACATTTAATCACATTTCAAATAAATAACAAAAATGTTTGAAAAATTAATTTCTAAAAACAATTGTTTTTAATCTGAAAATAAAAATGATTTTTTTTTAAATTTTATTAATGTGATTAAATAGAGGTATTTTTATCGTAAAACTTTTGTAGAAAACATTTTTCAAATATTTTTCGAGATACATCGAGTAAAACAAAAAACTGCTTTACATATGAGAGAGGGTGGTTTCACCCCTTAGAATCGTTTTTCGACAAAAATCGAAGTTTTTAAATTTATGTGTAAAATTTTATCAAATCAGAAATTTTCGTATTTGCTGCGTGAAAACGAAAAATAAACAAGAGATATTCTGTTATCTATATATTGTATATCTGCATATCCAGAAATACATTGATATCTATAAATATCCTTCTCTCTCGATTGTCGCTGAAGAAAACTCGTTTACAAATTGGTCAACGTATAAGGTTCCCAAATAATAATTTTTACGAAAAATGGAGGGCAATCGAGAAGAAAGAGATGGACAAGAAGAGAGAAATAAAAGCAAACTAATGCAAGTTCAAAGAAAATTCCTCCGTTGTGCGCGTTCCGCGAAATTCAACGGGTGAAATTCCAGCTGCGAAGGAATATTTCGACGAACTCGTACATATAATATAGATTGTCGTTAAAGTTAGGGGACGACAAGCGAGAGGAGGAGAAAAAATTGATCGCGGTATCATTTTGTAGAGAAACAATGTGCAGCTTCATCGGATAGACTCCACCCTTCCTCTCTTTTGGTCTATTCTCAAGACTTCCACTTTTTCTTTAGCGTTCGCGTCGTTCTTTATCTCTTTGTTATCCCTTTGTCTCCATTGAAGAAATCCCCTTCTCTTATATATCTCCCTTTCTCTTCATTTATTCGGTCACTCTGTGTCCTCTCAATTTTTCATTTTTTTTTTTACATCGTCTAAACAAAGCGCAGCCTGTATACATTCTTGTATGATTTTTATAGAAAAAATTAATCACTCGTTCTATTCACTCGTGCAAAAATAAAAATAATTAATTTACGCTCCCTCTGAAACGACGACAATGGAAGATTCCTGGCAATATCCGAATATAAATTGGAAGTAAATCTCTCTCTAACTGCTCCCACTATGGCTGTAATCGCTTCGATGGAAAACATTGTCATAGATCTCTCTTTAAATACAGATATATGCACTCTTATTTAAGCTTGCACATTTATTTAAACCGCTTTGGTTTTGCATGTTTTTCTATTGTGTTCGCGCATTCTCTTGTTCGGAGAAGAGATAAGCTTTATCTTTTAAAAGCGCCGAGAGATGCAATCAATTATCGTCTTTTCGACGAGCAAATAATTATGCAATCGATCGCAGTGCAAAGTGCAAATTTGGACGCTCGCTTGTTTTTCGCTCCGATTGACGATGCATCGATGTATTGTTGAATGATACTTTTAGTTAACGAGATTTATTTATATTTGTGCAGCTATTTTATTTCTAACATTAATTAACTTATGCGTTTAACGAAACGTCGAAAACACACGAGCGAAAAATCGAATATACAGCTTTGACTTTGTTGACTTGTCAACAAGGCCTGCTGACTGTTGTTCAGTAAAAAGAGAGAGATATGTATGTCAAAAAAAATAAATAAATAAAATGAAATACTAAAATTCTAAAACCAACAAATGTGACACCACGAATAAAACGATCGTATATTAAATGCGTTAAATGCTATATTCGACAAATTCAATCTATTTATATTGCAGATAATTCGATATATATATATATATTTTTTTTTCTTAATTAAATTAACGTCTAGAATTTATTCATTCGTATCATACGAGATTTTTATTATGTATCGATTGCGAAATAAATATTTTATATACAGGAAAATTGATATTGATATATATTTTCGTGATAGTTGTAATTTGTGAACTTTACACTTCCGTTGTAACTTGATGACATCCGTCACATTTTCTTTACATTATTGACCTAAATCGAGCTTAAAAGTAAGCTATAATATATACAAACAATTATATCACTATAATAAAATGTATGTCAAATGACTATTAATATAATACATAAACCAATTTAACGTATTACATAACGTAAAATTACATAAACATTTTCTAAAAAACAAAAAGAAGCATAAAACTTTCTACGCGTACTGAGTCAGCGATTATATTTATTTGCAATTCCATCGTGTTTACGCTCGCCTATGAATTTTGCCATTAATGCTATTTTTTCCAAATGTCAGCAAGATAAAGTGAAATGAGAGATAAGAGCGTGTATACTAAGCGTAACAAATATCGATATCGAATACTTTTTACGGAACACTATATAATTAATTTAATATATATTAATAAAATACGTAATGTATAATTTATTTAATAAATGTCATTTGAACATTTCAAATAAAATTTATAAAATTAAAAAAGAATCTTTTATATATATATATATATATATATATATATATGTCTCAACCGCAACATAAATCACCTTTGTACGAAACACGTATAAATTGAAAAAAGTTTGATTTCGATTAAAAAGAGCATGACACACAAAATGTCAAATTATTGTGCAAGCACTGCAATTGATTGGTGACGTTCCCTTTTATAGCCCCGAAAAGTCACTGCCGCAGTTACGTGTTGAAATCAATTTAAATGTTAAAGGGTGAAACTATTGTGGTATAAACCATTATAAACCCGTTCGTTCTCGACACGCTCTATCAAACAGAAATGGAAGTTCCATGGTCCAGGGTCAAGAAAGTCACGATTAACGACACGTTATCAGAGCTCGACCTTAGCATCGGGTTCATCCCGAGATGCACAAATATATTTTTTTTCACGAAACAATCTGCGTCAAGCATAATAGATTATAACCGCTCTCTTGTCTCTCTCCGCTTCTCCGTATTTCGATGAAAATTGTAAGCAACATTATATATAAAAAAGCTTTTATTTCTCTCTCATAAAAAGAAAACAAAGATGCAATTGCTTTGAATAATTTTTGTATGCACTCTGTTTTTGCTTTATTCTTACAATATTTCCGCGCTTCTGATTATGCAAAGAGAAGAAAAAATAATTAATAACATTTCCTGTTCTTTTTTTTTATTATATACTGTTAATTTAATAATTAATGCAATTTTAACGTTAGAAATGTGTATTATTTTAAGCTAGAAATTGACGTGCAATTTTCTTCTTGTTACAGATAAATGTACAGTCGGCTGCCACGGATGTAAGTATATTTTTAAATCGTAAGACTACGAAGAATTTATCTCTAATTTATCATAATTATATTTTCAAGAAAAATTTTTCATTGAAATTGAGAAATTATACATCCTCTATACGGGGTGGTCCATTTTAATGTTTACTCGAAATTTTTTTTTGCCTACATCTTTGTTTTTAGATGATGTCACTTTTGAAAAATCCAATTATCACTTTTTTTTAAATGAAAACCAAGTTTTTTAACAAGAGTTATTAAATTTGGTCGAATCCAACAAAAAATGTATTACTTGAGAGTTTTCTTGATTTTTCTTTTACACAATTTTTTAACTTTGAAATATTAATATTTTGCAAACATCAAAAAGTATAATATAGATGTAAAACACTTTCCTCGATACACGAAGATTCTCTTTCAGCTCTGAAATTATTTCTCTATCACATTTTAATTATATATTTAATATCTCTAAATTATTCTCTAAAATATTAATATTTTGCAAACATCAAAAAGTATAATATAGATGTAAAACACTTTCCTCGATACACGAAGATTCTCTTTCAGCTCTGAAATTATTTCTCTATCACATTTTAATTATATATTTAATATCTCTCATAGTGGATAATTCATTTTGATCTCGTTAAAGTAATTTAATATTATTATGCAATAATAATTGAATATCATTACCGAAGAACACAAAATAAAATTCAATTTTAGCAGAAAGTGCTTCTCGACATATTTGCGGAACATTATTATTCTAAAATTAAAAAATTTTGTAACTCAGAATTAAAAAATCGAGAAAATTCTTAATTAATACATATAGTTAGAGTTGTCTGGACAAGATCCACAACTTTTGTTAAAGAAAAAGTCAGTATCCGTTTAAACAAAAGTAATAATTAGTGAATTTATCAAAAGTGACTGCAAATAAATTGATTTCGTTATCTTGTCTCTCTCTAAAAATACAAAACAACTTCTGTGCGAAGCATTTTTTGTAAAAGACTTGCAAAACAGATATTTAGCGAATGATAAAACGTTAAAATAGCCACATCCTGTATAGTGTCGCTTATAAATTTATTGTATATTTAATTGCATATTTTCTCCTGTGGCCTTTTTTTAGTGCAAGGAGGTAAAGCATATCAGGAAGGACACACATACATATACGATTTAGAAGGAACGTCTGTATCGACGGTCCCCGATGCTCAGGATGACGCTACCTTGAAATTGAAAGGTACCGTTGAATTGTCAGTGAAGCCTGACTGCATTCGGCAGATCCGATTGAAGGGCGTACAAATCAATGGAGCCGTAAGTGTCTTACATCTGATCCGCGTATGCTTATCGCGTATTTCCAAATTAAAAAAATATATTAAATCAAATTATAAATATATTAAAATGTATGAATAAATATATTATTAATTAAAAGTATATTAATAAATATACAAGGAAAAAAGTAAAAATGAAAAAATAAATATGACACCCAAATATGTAATTTAACTTTTTTCGGAGGTACATTAAAACGTTCTTCTACCTCCTGAATAAATTATATTTGTAAATTAAAAACTTTTAATTGGAACTGTTTTCGCACGCGCGTGCAATTAATTAAAATTGATGCACGATGGTTTATATCAACTGGAACAGTTTTGTTTATATTAACTGAAATATGCAGTTCACAAAAAGTCTCTCGTTATCCGTAGACATTTCAAAATTATCGTAGACTAGTTTTCATATAATAAATATTTTATATTTGTTTTTAATTCATTTTTACTAAAATTTTATAATAAAAATACGATCTTTTGTGCAGAAATAAATAACATTCGTTCACAAAGATATCATAGGTATGTAAAAATATAAGTACCATTTATTTTTGTAGCCAATATCCCTGCCAGATGTTGAACAGCACGCGCTGCAATTCAACTATCACGATGGCCACATTGACACGCAGGTTTGCACCGAAGCTGGCGACTCGCAAGCCTCCCTCAACATCAAGAGAGCTGTCGCCTCTCTCTTCCAGTCGGCCGTCATCCAAGATTCTGGCTCTACAACTCACCACGAGGTATGCAAGCCAAAAACTCTGTCTTAATTCGTCATTGGAGAACCTATCTTGAACTATAATACACATCCCCTTTCAGTTCGACGTGTTCGGCGGCTGTCCGACTGACTTTACCTTCCACAAAGACGGCGAGTCATTGGTCGTTAACAAGGAGAGAAACCTGATTCGTTGCTCCCACCGCGAGAGCATCAGGGAAGGACCCGTGTCCGCGATCTATGATTCAAAGTCCGACATCCAATCGACCCCGTTGCTGTCGTCCCATCAGAAGATCGAGCAACGCTTCAAACGCGGTATCCTGAACAAGGCGATCTCGGTCGAGACCTACAAACTAAAACCATGGAGCAACGGTGACGTCGGAGCCAAGACGGTCGTGCAGACTACCCTGACTCTGAAGGGCGAGAAAGGTGACAGTCCCAGCGCGCCCGTGACTAAACCCAAATCTCTCATCTTCGAGGCGTCGCATCCCATTATCAAGTCGTCGGCGGACGCTATTGCCGCGGCTCTGAAGACTGTCAGTTCCGAGGAGCACGATGGCGTGAAGCAGGACGCGGCGGAGAAGTTCGCCGAGCTCATTCGGGTCCTCCGTCGCAGTAGCAAGGACGACATGCAAGCCGTCTATCAGAAGGTGAAGGCCGGTGCTGGCTTCGACAAGGTCCTGGACAAAAAGATCTTGTTAGACGCCCTGTACCGCACCGGAAGCGGCGAGGCCGCCGAGGTGGTTGCCGATCTACTAAAGAATCAGGAGCTCTCCAAAACTCAGGCTCTGCTCTTCTACGCGAGTCTCGCTCTCGTCAATCACGTGCATTTACCGTCAGTGACCGCCATCACGTCGCTTCTCGATCAACCGGATCTGCCGCGTCTCGGTTACCTCGGAGTTGGCCAAGTGATCGGAAAATACTGCCAAGAACACACCTGCGAGAACGTGGCTGAGGTCAAACAAGCCATTCAGAAGATTCGTGAAAAGATCGGCAACGGGAAGGCGAAGACCAGGGAACAGGAAAATCTGATAGTCTCGGTCCTGAAAGCGCTGGGCAATACTCGGTATCTTGACGACGCAAGTATACAGAAACTGGCCGGCATCAGCGAGGACAAAAATGTCCGCAATCGCGTCAGGGTTGCCGCGATCGAGGCTCTACCAGCTCGCTGTTCCATGAAGTGGAAGACCGTTCTTCTAAAGATTCTGGCTAATCGCGAGGAGGACAGCGAAATCAGGATAAAATCTTACCTGTCGCTGGTCGCCTGTATTTGCCCGCAAGTTGCCAACAGTATCAAGGAAACGTTGGATAAGGAGGAAGTCAATCAAGTTGGATCCTTTATTCAGAGTCACTTGCGTAATCTGCGAGCCTCCGCCGATCCAAGCAAGGCCGAAGCAAAGAGACAGCTCGGCCAGATTAAGCCGCGAACCAAATTCCCGGAAGATTTCCGCAAGTTCTCCTTCAACAACGAACTATCGTACAACGTGGGCGGTCTCGGAGTCGGCTCCTCCGCGGAGAGTAACGTCATCTACAGCCAAGAGAGTTTTGTGCCACGCTCGGTGAATCTGAATCTGACTACCGAGATATTCGGCAGATCTTTTAACTTCTTGGAGCTCAACACTCGTATCGAGAACCTCGACAGATTGATCGAGCACTATTTTGGACCCAAAGGTCAACTAACGCAGGACGAGGTGGAAGACTTAGTGGATAAAGGAGCGGATAAGGTTGAGAATATTGCACAGTATATTAAGACAAAGGTCGACAAGTTGCGTCGTAAGCGTGAGATAAAGCAGGGAGAACTCGACAAATTTGCTAAAGCTGTCAAGTTACGAGACAACGAGGTGGACCAGCAATTTGATTTAGATCTATCCGTTAAATTGTTTGGTGTCGAACTAGCCTACTTAACTTATAACGGAAATCCCACGCAATTGTCTTTGGAGAATATCATCGATAAGATATTCGACAACGTCGAGAAAGGATTTGACAAAGCGAAGAAATTCGATTTGAACTTGCAGAATCGCTTACAGTTCCTGGACGCGGAGGTCATCTATCCGACTAATCTCGGTACGGCGCTCTCTTTGAGCGTGCTCGGCACCAGCGTGGTCCATTTGAAGACATATGGCAAATTGGATATTCCGGCAATCCTGAAGGACCCGAAAACCGCTGATGTGCGCATCGGTTTGGAGCCTGGCGCCTCCATTCGGATCGCTGGCAGCTTGGCTGTCAAAGGATTCGATGTGGAGTCTGGCATAAAGCTTGTCACTACGATGCACACCGACACGGCGAACGATCTGACAGTGAAGCTATTGGACGGCAAAGGTATTGACATAAGCCTCAGCTCGCCGAAGAAAAAGGAGGAGATCATAAGCGTGAGCAGCGAGATCCTGCTGAGCAGCGGATCGCAAGGCGAATCATACAAGCCTGCCAAATTCGGCAAGGGCAAGGTATACAAAGACTGCTTCGAACAATTCTCCAGCGCTTTAGGCGTAACAGTTTGCGGACACCTAGAATTCCCGTATGATGGCATCGAGTCGGTGAACAAGAGAGCCTTTTTCCCTCTGAACGGACCGTCCAAGTATGGCATTAGCGTTGAGAATAACGATCTGTCAAGTGTACATCTCAGAGTACATTACGACAAAACACCCAGCACCCGATCGTTTGAAATTCTGTTAGACACGCCCAATAGCAAAAGTAACAGACGTGTATCTCTGATTGGCGAAGTCATTCTCGAGCCCGATAAGGTTGCCAAACTATCACTTGATTCTCCCATCAAGAAAGCTTCCGCTGAGGCAATATTGAAGTGCAATTCTCAGGAACATACGCTCACAGTCAAGGCGCACAACGATAACCACGAGTACTTTGGGCGCGCCGGCATCTTGGCCGATGGTTCCAAATACAAGCCCATATTGGAGTACAAAGTGCCGGAGCATATCGAAAAGCTGGCGGGAGGCAAGTCCGAAAAGACTCGCGGCAGTGGTCAACAATACAATGTTCAGGGTACCGTGGAACTGATTGATGAAAATAACGTGAAGAAATACGTGTTTAACAAGGTAGCCCTAGTCGCGGATGGCCAGAATCTCGTCGGTCTCGACGGATATCTTAAAGGAGGCAAGAACGAGTTTGATCTAGATTTAAAAACAAGTTATGGTGACGATTCTATAGACTTGAAGTCACATGGAAAAAAGCTGGGAGAACATCACTACTCGGTCGGCCTATCGGCGTTGCCATCTAGAGATCCCAATATAGGTTTCAACATCGATTGGGACATTCGTAAGAGTGACGAAGAGTTCGAGAACAATCTGGTCTTTGTTCATGGCCCGGATCTAAAATCCAAAGTTGCGCGTTTCACTCTTAAGCAGCACGTAATCAACAAATTGAAGCAAGGAAACCCGAACTTCTTCTTGAGCGTATCTAACAAAATCTCGTATCCCGCAACGCAGTTGAAACTGAATCTCGAAGGCAAATTTACGCCCAATTCCATCGACGGCGATGTCGAGATCGCGCATGACAAATTCAAGTTCGGCTCGGACCTGAAAGCCAAGTGGAATATGGTTAAGCCGGGCGACTATGACATCGGATTCGAGGCCAACCTGTTGCAGAACAACATCAAACTGAAATCCAAACGTACCATCATCGATCCGCACAAGAGCAAGTATCAGAACAAGATCGAGCTAACGCCGGGCGGCAAGTTCGAAGCTGATGCCTTAGTAACGTACAACAAGGACGCCAATAAGCTGAATACGGAGGTGGACGGTGACCTGGATCTGAACGGCAAGAAAGTCAAGGTTTTCGGTAGTCTGAACGCCGAGCGTCCCTGCAACATCCAGTCCCGAGCATACGTCACCGTTAACGACATCAAGTATGTCGACCTAGTGCTCAAGCTGCTGAAGCAGGGCGCGTATCCGCAAGGTAACTTGTCCCTAAACGTCAAAAACTATCTGAACGTCGCGGGACAGATCACGTCGCAAAACGAAAAGGGTAACGCGCAACTCAACATCGATCTGCCCAAGCTTAATCGAAAGATCAAGGGAACCGGCGAGTTCTTGATAAGCGGCTCGCAGCACAATGCTGAAATCGAGCTTCTCTTCGACGCGGAGAAAGACCCGAGCAAGCGTATCAAGCTGTCCACCGTGAACGATTTGAAGAAGAACGCCGTCGATTCGAAGAACGTGATTCAGGTGTTGGATCACAAGCTCGAGGTGAACGGCAAGGGCAAACTGGATGGAACAATCAACGAGGGCGAGTTGGTTGTCGACGCGGACATCACTTTGCCGAACGGTCGTTATCTAGTTTGGAAATGTAAGCGCACGTCCGCCAAGAAGAACGACAAGTACGACATTCACGTAAACGCCGAGTTGGAAGACCACGAGACTAAGGGCGGAAAATCGCGGAAAATCATATACGTCGCCGACGCCACCGACGTCGACTACAAGACATCCACTTTCCGGGTGAACGGACAAGTGACGGGCGTCGATGTAGACGGCAATAAAGTGCAGTCCGATCTCAATGTAAAGAATCTCGCCCGTGTAGAGGGTTATAAGAAACTGTACGAGATCATTCTGACCATATCAAGTACACATTTCGATAAAGGGCCGTTTAATTTGCAATATAAGACTGGCGAACGCGATAATGGTGAGCTGACATATGAAGTTGCTTCCTCCTTAGGCAAGAACATCCAGGTGAAGGTAAGCAAGAGTAACCTGTTAAGAGAATTCTTCACGGGATTGTCTGTTTTATCGACCAATTATTATTTTCATACTCCTGGTCTTTTTTGTCGCATTAATTTGACAGAATTAAAAATGCTTCTCTACGATTGCAATACATACATCAATACATGATCCTAGACAAGTTCGGTTTTATATGAAAAACGAAAAATAATTACGAAATTACAGCTTTTCTTATCTACTTTTATCTCAATATGACGTCTCGAATGACAGACGAGTTGTCAACTCGTCATACATGATTTATATAAAAAATATACATTTTATATAAATATATACACAAAATCCCTGGGATTAACATACATGAAAAAAAGCATTGTTATACTCTAGATTAGAAGTCCAATATAGTTTGTATTACGTATGTGTATTATGTACGTATGTGTATTATGTACGTATGTGTGCGTACGTTGTAGATATAATAGAGCAAAAAACAGCAATACATATTTACATTCAAACCTACAATAATATTAAATGTAGCAAAACGTGACTCCAAGTGTGCCATAAATTTCTAATACATGTTTAATCTGGATGATTTATAATGTGAAATTCGAAATATCTGTAATTAATCTTCGAAAATCAATCGATAATTACCGATATTCTAAATTCCATCATACCGAGGGTAATGAGCAACAATTTTTTTATCAATTAAAAATCTTTTATTATTTGGAAAACAAGTAATATCTGAATTTTTATACGTAGAACTATTTTTTTACGTAGTCCATTTCTTAGTAGTCCGTTTCTTTTAACACATTGTTCTGACAGTTTGAAAATGCTTTTGCGGAATAAAACTCCAATCTAGCAACTCTTTAAAGCTTGCAATCATCTCGTAAACTGTATTGTGCTCTATTCCTAACTTTTCATATATGATAATTAGATTATCAAGCTTGAAGATGTATGCACGGATTATTTGTTGAATAAATAATAAAAAAATTGTTACTCATTACTTTTAGTACAACTCTCATACCTAGATAATAACGCAATGTGTATAAACTAACGAGGCATAAATATTATCATTTGCAGAATTCTGGAACATACGTTCACGGTAACCACGTCGATCAGCCTTGCACGATCAGCGGCAATGCGGAGCTGGTATTACCGTTCCAAGAGCTGCACCACGTCAATCTCGACTACAAGAACAGCTTGCTAGCCGGAGAAAGCAAGTTCGACCTGGAGGGATCAACAACGCTCACTTATAATAAAGACAAAACGATCAAAGTCGAAGGTGTCTTTAAGACATCCGGAATCAGTGATGGCGAACATCTTTACGAGAGCGATCTCAAGCTCGATCTGACGGTTCTCAAGATACCGCCTATTACTCTCCGAGATCAGTTTAAGTTGGTACCTGACAACGACAAAGTGACGATCACTACCAACACGATTGTTACATACGATCAGAAAGAATTGACCCTCGCGATCGACTCTCTCACGTACGATCGGGATCACACGCGTCTCGATGTAAAGGCCAAGGCTACCACCCCGTACGAGAAGCTGCGTCACATCGATTTTGAAATCAAGCACGAGGTAACGTTGTTAATTCTATAAAGAATATGAAAGCGACAAAATACGATATGGAATAATTGAGTACAAAAAACCTCACGAATCCGAAAATTCTACACACATATAGGGTTGATAAATGAATCGATAAATCTCGAAAAATATTCGAGATATCAGAAAATGTTTTATAGAAAAGTTTCATGGTAAAAGCACCTTTATTTAACCACATTAATAAAATTTTGAAAAAATATTGTAACGTTTCGTTACAATTCTTTTTACCGTAAAAACACATAATTTTTCGCCGATTTTGATTTGTCGAGTGAATTCTCTGGATTATTTTAACTTATAGATCGCCCCTAATATCCCCAGTACATCATTTATGATAATTTATTTCTTGCTACGACAGCAGTGCCGTTTAAAGAGCAAAGTAAAGTTTACAGTGACCAACGAGATTGCTGCGAGGGTGGCACTATATCTATCCATTGTACCTAATACTTTTTTTATTTAATTTTTGAAGAGAGAAAAGGACGCGCACGTAAGGAAGACCGATGTGACCGTCACCGCCGATGGTACAAAGTACACAGCCAAGAGCGAAATTCGAGACGGCAACGTCTCTCCGATTATCCATATAGTTCTCACTTGTCCAAAGGGAAAGACTGAATTACTCTCGAAATTCGAGAAGCTCGGCGACCGAGAATACACGGGTAATTTTAGTCGATTTTTAAGCGAAATCCTTTTAAAAACGTACGACGTAATGATAAAAATAGAAAATCGAATTTTCAGACAAATGTGTACCTTTTAAATTCATACTGTCTGGAACATCGATTAAATAAATTTGGATGCAAAGAATTGAAACCACGCATGCAAACATAAAAATTGAATAATAACTTTTCAAAACAAAACCAGAAAATTGTGTTTTGATTTTTTAACTGGTTTTGAGAAAATTATAAAAGAAACAATAAGACAATTTACAAAATTTTTCGTCAAATGTTTGAATATTTTTAAGTTATCTGTGTGTTTTGTCTTTCTATAATAATATTAAAATATTATATCTATATTATATTTTATATTATATCCTATAATAATATTAATATTATAAAATTTGATTCCATACACATCGTATATTTATTCGAAAGAGTAAAATTTCTTCGAATTGCTTTTTTATCAAATTTCTCAAATTTGGCTGATTTAGGTGAATGGAAAGTCGAGACACCATACGGCTTCGCCGTCGCCGACGCGCACGTCAACCTAGAGAGCATTGACAATTTCGTCATCAACGTTAATCTGGACAGCGACAAGCTCAAGCATCGTAAAATTCACGCCGAGATAGCTAACAGTCCCACCGCCAAGACCGGCAGGAAAATAATTATCACCGTCACCAGCGACGGCAAGAACATCGTCACAGGAAGGTAAAAGCGTTAATAGTTCTATCGCACGATATTGCTAAACATAATAATACCTTGAAGATTGGCAATTATTAATGCACTGAAAATATTGTGCTCACATTTTAAGAATTTTCTATTTATTTATTTTTTAATTATTCTGTTCTAAAAATAGGCGTCAAAAGAATCTTCTTATCTTAAGAATGATCTAAAAATTAGTATCAGACATTCTTTATAAAAATGGGGACGAAATGGAACTGATTGTTACTTTGACAAAAGAGTACATTATTTCACAACACATAAGGCAAAGAAAAGTCATAAAGAAAATATAATAGTTCTATCGCACGATATCCCTAAACATAGTAATATCTGAAGATTGACGATGATTAATGCACTGAAAAAATTGTATTCACATTTTAAGAATTTCCTATTAATTTATTTTTTAATTATTCTGTTCTAAAAATAGGTGCCAAAACAATCTTCTTATAATTTATAAAAATAAAAACAAAATGGAACTGATTTTTACTTTGACAAAAAAATACATTATTTCACAGCACATAAGGCAAAGAAATGTCATAAAGAAAGTATAGATATAGTTAGGCACGAGACCCAGATCCTGGACGATCGAATTAGATTATGTTACACGTACGCTACTTACTCGCGAACATTTCTCTTAAGTCGTTTGACTCTACTTTTTCAAACTACTTATTATATAACTTCGTCCATTCTTCGAATAAACTAAAAGCAGTTCAGTGACAAATGCTACACTGCACTGTAAATTGCAATACTATACAGTTTTTCGATTTTTCATATAACTCATATACTTTTATATCCTTCCTTAAGAAGTTATATTCTTCTAAAAGAAAAGATAAACATTAAATTTTTTTTTTTTAATTATTGATTTACGAAAAAAATTAAAAAATAAGAAAATTTCTAAAAAAAATTAAGCTTTCTAAGGTATATTTTCAGATAATCACATTTCGACTCGTTAAAAAGTTTAAATAAAAAATTTTACAGGGTGTTGGTTTCATCCCCTTATAATGATACAAGATTTAAAAAAAAAATTAATAAATATACTTTATAGTAGTGGAAAATGTCCATTAAATTTTATTTTTTTAACTTCTCTAAAATGTGAGAAAAAAATGCATTTTTAGATGATCACATTCCGATTCCGTTAAAAAGTTTTAATAAAAAATTGAATAGGGTTGTAGTTTCATTCCCTTATAATGATACGGCAAGATAAAAAAAATATTAATAAATATCCTTTTTTTTTCTAGTAAAAAATATCCACTAAATTTCATTTTTTTAACATGTTCAAAATTTGAGAAAAAAAATTCAGGGAGGAATATAGAGGAATGTATGTTTATATGAAAATCCTTCCTTAATTTTTAATAAAAAAATGTTTTCCTAAAGTTATTTAAAAATACTGTGTATATATAAGATAAAGAAAAAAAATTACCAAACTTTTACTTATATTAAGAGATTGAACTGAAAAATAAAACATGTCAGTTTCGATCTTTTTTAGTCCACAGAAAATTTAGTCGGAGAATATCTGTTAAAGTCAAATTCTCAAGATTTCTTATTTTTAGCGAATGTTCCAGAAACACTTAAAAATGTGTCTGTCAAGAGGGATTTTACAGAGTATACAGTTTTCTTATTTCTCAAAAGTACAATTTTTTTTCGGTGCAGTTTTATTTGGTCGAGAAAGGTAATTCACGCAAAAGAGAGAGGCTAAAATCCGAGATCGCGCGGAATGCAGGAAGTCCATCATGCGATTCGTTTTTCTCAACATTCTCGACTTCCATTAGCGATCTTGTCTACATTCCGTCGCGCTTCTCTCATCGAGAGAGAGAGAGAGAGAGAGAGAGAGAGAGAGAGAGAGAGAGACAGACAGAGAGAAGGATCGATATTCCCGACGTAATTCTAAACGATGGTTCTCTAACGGCGCGCGAGATATGGATACACCTCTTGTGCGCGTATATAAAAGAAGTAAAAGATCGATCGCCTACGCGCGGCGACAAAACAAAGAGTAAAGATGTCCTCCTGTAATTAACGAAAGGGCACGAGGTCATTTTCAAAGGAGATCGGAGAGAGATACGGTAGAATACGTATCTCTCTTTCTCTCTCCTTGTTCTGTGTAATTTCATCGATTCACCCGCTAAAATTAATTCAAGTGGTTTCCGAGAATACCTTTCAACTGTGCACCAGCCCTTTTTATTCGCCTCATCGAGATCACCCCCCGGATCGAATCGTGGAGAGAAGGTTGACAATTGAACGATTCCCTGATGTCAGAAATTTAGAAATTATGCCATCGATCGCGTATGGCATAAAAAGTATTATCAAGCACTGCATTACACACATCTGTAATAAAAATATCGATATATCATTTAATATTAAATATATAGAGGAAGAGAGAGAAAGAGAAAGAACATTGTGTAATATATCAATATTCTATACTTAGAATTCCTTAGCATATATGCATTTTAATGGTAATAATGGCAATTTATTCTGTTCCCTGAAATATTCCCTTAAGAACAAAACTATCATTCCAAATAGCAAATCGACATCATTGAACGTCATTGAACGTCAAAATAACGTATGTAATATTTTTGGAATTTTCTTTATCCCAGATAGCAAACATGTATGTCAAATGATGTCATTAGACATCTAATGACATCATTTAACGTCAAAATGACATATGTTTACTACCTGGGATAGGTAAAGAAATTCCAAAATAGAACACTAAAAAATATATTCTGTTCTCTGAAATATATTCCCCTAAGACAAAACTATCATCTTAAATAGCAAACTGACGTCAGTAAACATCAAAATGGCGTATGTTTGCTATCTGGGATAAGTAAAGAAAATTCGAAAAATATTACAACAAAAAAGATATTCCATTCTCGGAAATATTATCATCTCAAAAAGCAAACTGACGTCAAAATGGCGTCATTTTGATGTCTAATGACATCATTTAACGTCAAAATGATGTATGTTTGCTACCTGGGATAGGTAAAGAACATTCCAAAAATAGAACAATAAAAAAGTGTATTCTGTTCTCTCTGAAATATATTCCCCTAAGACAAAACTATCATCCTAAATAGCAAACTGACGTCAGTAAACATCAAAATGGCGTATGTTTGCTATCTGGGATAAGTAAAGAAAATTCGAAAAATATTACAACAAAATTTATTCTGTCCTCTGAAATATTATCATCTAAAATAGCAAATTGATGTCATTAAACGTCAAACTGGCGTCATTTTAATGATGTTTAATGACATCAAAATGACCTATGTTTGCTACTTGGGATAGGTAAAGAAAATTTCAAACATATTACAACAAAAAACACATAAGATAATAATAACGTAAGAAAGAAATAGTAAGAAGAAGAATAAGAGTAAAATGCATATCTGACATAAGATTATGATTTATTCGCAGTACAAACTACAAGAGACGCGACGAGGGTGGCAAGACAATCGTCGAAGGAAACGGCAACCTGAAGATAGGGGAGAACACGAGGAGCTCGTCCTTCAAGTATACTCGCCAGCAATTGACTCGCGAGAAGGACGGCGAGGTCGGCGTGATAATCGTTTTGAACGCCAAGTTCGATCCGGCGGCTATCGTGGGCGAGCTGAAGCTCTCGAATAAGGAGATCCTCGTCTCGAACAGCTACTGCGAGCAGAGCAAGGAGTGCGCTCATTTCAAGCTTCAATCGAGCTACGACACTGATCGTAAGTCGAATTTTCATTAATAAATCAATATATATAGTTTCTTTTTATAAAGAAAATATAATATATATGCACATACATACATATATACAGGGTGTCTGTTTTGTAATTTTTGCAGTTGTAAGATTTCATAAGGATTTCTCAATAATAAGGGGACGTCTTGTCGTAAACATAGTAATATTCCAGGTTGAGTTTTTATTTTTCAAGGTCAAAATAATTATTTTTTAAAAATGAAACCATCATAATTTTCTTATATAAATCAATTAATCATAATATTTGACGTGAAAAAATTGTGGGAATAGAAAGATAAATGGTTTACGAGATATTTTGTGCATCATATTCTGACACATTTTGACAAGAATATGAAATTTCTTTTAATAATCCTTATATTTCGATAATCTAGTGTTAATAATTTTTTGCATAGAATGAGACAAATTAAATGATATAAAAAATATGTAGTTATTTTTTTTAATATATACAGTTGCAAATTGCAAATTACAACTTTTTTGATCACAAGAGTATGTTTTTCTTACACCAATTGATGTATTTTTTTATTAATTTATTTATTATTGATGTATTCCATACAGAAAATTTTTAAGATAAAGTTATCGAAATGATTATATTACGACGTATTTCATATATTTTATCAAAATATGTCAAAATGAAGTATGAACTATCTCGTAAACCATACATTATTTGTATTTTCATTCTAACAATTTTTTATTTGAAATATTACGAAGAATTAATTATATAAAATGGATTTATGTAAGAAAATTATATGGTTGTTCCAGAAAGTAATAATTCCGAAATCTTAAAAATGCCTTCATATAGAATACTATTATGCTTTGCTTTCGACATCCCTATTGAAATCCTACAGCTTTTATATGAAACGTTTTTTTAATGGAAGTCTTAGTTTTCGAGAAATATCAATGCAAAAATTAAAATGGGACACCCTGTATATAATCGTCTTTAAAGCAATCTTTTATCAAACGGAATTAGAGTAATCCAAGTGGGATTTATACAGCCTTAAGTAAAAATCTCTTCCTCTTCACTCCATTTTACATAGATCTACAATATGCAGCAATTTTGTCCTTCCTTCTTATATTTTCTTTCTGTTTAAAATGGAAAAAAGAAAAATTTATGAATAATTAGTGAAACATTTTTTTCTATAACATGCTCATTTATTTCTAAATATTATAAAATTGATTGTATGTACATACACTGTTGTAAAGGATATTTATAAAATATTTGGACAATTTCTAGGGTGTATTCCTCCGCGTCAAAAAAGAAAAAACTATATGTACATTAAAGCTTACATAGGATGTATCATAAGTCGCGCTTCATTTGTGAAGAATGAATATACAAAGTAAAAAGAAGTCGAAAATAAAAAATGACGAAATTACACTCGAGTCTTCTTTAAAGAGTTACAAATAATTGAAAAATTTATCGAATTATTTTTATTGTTATTAAAAGTTTGGCATTTATTTCGATCATTTGTGTAATATTGTTTGACTAAAACAATTAATTAACAAATAGACAATAAGGTTAGAATTACAAAGTATTCAAATAATCGGCCTATTATTGTTTGTGACAGAATCTGCAGATTGACATTTCAAATGCATAATTTGCTGATTCAAAAGTGAGTGATTGCGAGATTATAATAAAACCAAATTTATGTTAACGTTATCAAATAATTATAATTAAGCATTTGATTCAGAAGAAACACTCAAAATGGCTGCCATTTGATTAAAGACAATCAAATTTTTATCTATCAGAACAAATTTAATGTTTAGAGTATTCACAATTGATAACGAAGAGATGTTATGCCAATGCATTAAATTATTAATGCTTTTGACATTATGAAATCGTCTTTAAAATAGCTCGACAATCTACTCCTCCGCGTCTAATGGCTGTTTCCAATCATATGGCGACCATGTTTAGCATTTCTTATGAGTTTAAGTGCTTATTAATTTTTTATTTAATTATTATATAATTGATTAAATTATTCAATAATAACGTAACTTTATTAATATTTAATAATAATTCTAATTATTTTACTAAAACTTCACATTTTTAACTATGAATCTACATGAATTTGCTTTTTTTTTTATTTTGACGTGAGGAATCGTAAAAATTTGTCCAAGTATATTTTATTAATATTTAATAATAATTCTAATTATTTTACTAAAACTTCGCATTTTTAACTATGAATCTACATGAATTTGCTTTTTTTTTATTTTGACGTGAGGAATCGTAAAAATTTGTCCAAGCATATTTTATTAATATTTAATAATAATTCTAATTATTTTACTAAAACTTCGCATTTTTAACTATGAATCTACATGAATTTGCTTTTTTTTTTTTTATTTTGACGTGAGGAATCGTAAAAATTTGTCCAAGTATATTTTATAAGCACCCTGTATAAAAGCTTTCCGCACGTAATAAAGGATTTTATAGGACGTTACATACGGGGGCGCACCTGGAAATATATACCATCTCATGTTCGCTTTGCGTGTCCCAGTCCGGTTCTTTATGGAGAACATCCTCCTCGTCAACGAAGAATTTGTAAAAAAAAAAAAAAAGGACGTCAGCCCTTGTAACAAAATCCCCGGTTGCTTTTTTTCACAGAGATCACATACCGAATAGTGACGTGCGTCTCTCAGGAAATCATCCTTATCGCGACGATTGTACATGCTCTTTCGTCAGCCGTTGCACGCACGTCCATATATATATATCCGTTCTAAATAATTAGAGAGAAGCTCCCTTCGTGAATCCCGCACTCTCTCTCTCTCTTGCGTGTGTATTTTGCATGAATGCGCAATAATGCCGCGACATGGAATTTTCGCGAGCAGCAGCAGAGAGGAGGACAGAGCCTTCTATTTCCACCCCATCTCACCCTCTTTCTACAGCGCGGTTCTGGCTACCTCGGGATCCCTGGTCGATAGCGGAGTTCTATTCTCGCGTGATCTCGCGCCCGATTCGTGCCTCGCCTCGGTTATTTATAGATCCCCGGATTTTTGCATCCCCTTAAACTCGGCGTCGCGCTAACTCGAGAGAGAGAGAGAGAGAGAGAATGTGCGCGCACTTTCTTACCTTCTTCCGCGCTTTTCTTTTTCTTTCTTACTTCCTACCGCCTCCTCGATGACGAGGAAGAAAGTCGATGAACGCCGGGATCGCGATGCGGGAAGACCAACAGGCGTGACCAACCCTCCTCCCACCTAGGCCAGGGTATACGAAGGGTATTTCATGGCGCGATACAAGGAAAAAAATAAGTCGCGTCGGAATGACGTCACGCGCCGCAAGGGCGTGTGCTCTCTCTCTCACCCTGCTGACGTATATACGCGTCTTAATCCTTTCCAGCCTCGAGATGACGTATAGCGCAATAATGTTTAGTTTGCACTCCTCCACCCTCTCATTTTCTCCCCTTTTTCCCTCTTTCCCTCGGGATCAATTTGGCGAGTCTGTCGAGAGACTCGGGAATTTACGGAAATAAAATTCTCGCGATTATAAAGTCGAGCTGAAGAGGGCTCTCGAGAAAGAGCTCTATGGGTAAATGGGACGGGGCATAACGAGTTTCCAATGACAGACATTAATAGTTATGAGCCATTTATGATTGCTCCGTGACTGTCAAATGAATACCCCTTTCCGTCGTTCATTCATGATTTTACGATAATAATTATTATCGATTGTCATCTCGCACCGAAATGTCAATTATACACCTGATGTTCAATTTACCCGATGACCTCGATTATATTTACAGGACTCTTTATCTTGACGATCGTTTCATAATTTTATATTTACATACTCTAATTGTTTTTCACTATTATCCACTGTAACTTGATAGATGTCGAGGAAAGATATAAAGAATATAGTTAATTTTTGTTTTTCAATTTTTGTTCTTTCTTAATTTTTTTAAATTTATTTTTTTGTCATTTTCTTTTTTCATATTAAATACGCAAATAAATTTTAGTGTTTATTTAAAACGAGAGCAAATGCTTAATTTTTGTCTTTTAATTTTAATATATTCTTTTTTAATTTTTTAAATTTCTTTCTTTTCTTTTCTTTTTTTTATATTAAATACGTATATAAATTTTAGTGTATATTTAAAACGAGAGCAAATGCTTAATTTTTTTTTACTGATTCCAAGAAATGTCTCCTCTTGCCCCCCTTTGCGGACACCTATGAGACGAATATATGTATATACTTTACATGAATGATATAAAAGAAAAAAGAATCGTGCAAAATAATTTTTTTTTTTAGAAATACCATCCTGATATTTTTGATTTTGCTTGTGAAGCAATTTTTATTTTATTATCTATTTATGTTATTTTTATTCGTTCTTATAGAAAAGACTTACTTGAATCATCAGATAACAGTGGACGTGGATCTAAAGAAATTTAATGTACCGGCTGAATTTGGATTAAAGACGAGCACCGAGATCAAAGAGGCTAAGTTTGATCATTCAGCTAACTTGTATTTGCACTCGTCCAAGGACAAATCCCAGTATTCATATCAAGTTTACGTTCATCCCAAGGATAGCGGTAAGAAAGCTTATTCTCTCTCGCTATTTCAATGCTTATTAATTAAATTAAAAATAATCACGTTACTTATGTAGAATTATATACCTTTCCCAGCTGTCATTTTGACTTTGCCCAATCGCGAACTGGCCGTCATCGGCACTCTCGACTTGCCGAAGTCGAAGCAAAGCGGGTCGTACAAGGTCGACGTGTCCGTTTACTTGGACAGAAAGAACAAACCATCCGAGAAGACCGGCTTAGTCGCTGCCGGAGACATTAATATCGGGAAGGACACCGGATCCGTCAGCGGAGAAGTTAAATTCATTTATCCGTCTCAACCCAAGGTACGTCTCTCTGATATAGAAAAATGCAATCTCATTTGTGCTCGAGAAAAACAATTTCTAAATCCATCCAGAAGTCACATTGGGTTTGAGAAAGGCAGGGAAAAAACTTAACTGAAGAAGTATTTTCAATCTCGCTCCCAATTTCTACGTGAATACGATCAAAGTCTTGAATATAGAAATTAGAATGAGGCACAAGCCTTGGCCGAGCCTTTAGTTTACTTTCGATTTTCTTGCAATCTAATTTCGCTTGGCTGTAAAAGAGGCGATATACTATTCTTAATAGTACACATATCCCGAAGATGTCCAAAGAACATCCTAGGATGTTCGAATGTCCTTTGGATATTCTCTGAATATCCTCTGAATATCTTTCGGATATGTTATGCTATTAGGAATAGGCCTTCCGTTAAATTTGCCTTCACGTAGATCAAGCTTTTTCTCATCCTTATTACAATTTTTGTCAAGGATATTGCGGTAAAAGGTAGACTTCACTATGGCGGCCAACACCTGCTGGACGCGAATGTGGATATCGATGTCTTCGCGAAGAAAACGCAAAAGATCAGCGTAGTGGCAAAACTGATCCAAGAAAATCTCGAGAAGGGTGCCAATCTCACTAGCTTGATCGAAGTGAACAGCCGTGGCCAGCAGCTCAAGGTCGATCTGAAGTCGCATGCATTATTGGCGGAACGTTCGATCGGTTTTGGTAGCATATTGACTTACACGGACTCGCATCAGAAATTGAAGAACGTAGGCGTCCTGTTCTCCGCGGATCCTAAGAAGCTGTATCTCCTCGTGACTGCGCCCAATAAAGAGCTCCTTAAAGTTGACGCAAAGCTGCAATTAGAGAAGAATCTGCAGAAACTTGACGCCGAGGTCACGATTGTCGACAATAGTCCCATTGTAGTTAATGCAGAAGCGAATAATTGGAACAGCTTCAAGTATCTGGAGTATCAACAAGGTAACTTGTGCCTGATCAGGCTCGTTGCTCGTTTAAATTGTTAATCCAAATGGATGTATTCTCGAAATCATCAGTTTTGCTTAAGTGTATCTTCTATCATGAGCTTATATATGGTAATTGGTACATTTCTTAGATAACCCCAACACGAAGATCAACGTTAACGGACGCGTTGTCCTCGGTCAATTGGCGGAAATTCACGCAGATGCGTACAAGGAGGGAGTAAAGAAGCATCTGTTCCATGTTCTGGTCCAGCTTGATGAGGAGAAGTTCCTGAAACCTGATTTCGGTTACAACAAGGACAATGTCGTCTACACAATTGTGAGTCGCACATCATCATTATGCAACATGTACGCGTAACATTGCTTTATTGACTTTACTTTATTTTAGGACCATTATCGAAGCCGAGCCATCTTGCACCTGAAGCAGCTAAAAGACGCCTCCATCGAGATAATCAAGGAGTTGGAACAAGAAGTGAAAAATCTTTTGGAACATCTGAAGAAGGCTCAGCCAAATATCAAGCCACTCTTGGATTACTATGAGACTGAATTGAACAAGTTGAAGAACGAGCTTCACGCCGACCAAACTATCAAAGATATACAGGCTACTTTGTAAGAAAATGATTACATCTCTTTTGATATATTATATATTTAATATATTACAAAAATTAAAATAATATATGATTTTACATTTTATAAATGGTAACAAAGTAGTATGCCGTCATAAATTTGATAATTATATATTTGTTTATACATGAAGTAGAAGAAATCCATAATAATGATATATCTGTAAACGTTTTATAGGTCTTTCTCGCACTATGTGCGTATAATATCGATCGTATCCTTTCAGGAACAAGCACTTAGGAGCTATCATCACCGCCGTGACGGATACCTTGAAGCAGGTAACCGCACGATTGAACGAACTCCAGAAAGAATACAACGAGATACTCTCCAAACTTCAGGAAGCATGGAATAAGGTTTACCCTCAATTGAGAGAATCCTACGAAAAGGTAGTCAAAGCGTACATCAGCATTCTTGATACCCTGGCCAATGTCGTCATAGCTTACCTCAAGGCAGTGCTCACTCTGATCAATGAGCATCAAAAGGAATTAAAGGAACTAGCAATCGTGGCTTCTGAGATTGCTCAGGACATCGCCAAGATCATATTCAAGACCGTTGGTCAGATCAGGAATGATGTCGACGAGTTTGCCGACCTTCTGCTGAATCAACTCAAGGCGTTACCGATCTACGAGACCGTCAAGGCATATTATACGCAACTTATAAACTTCCAAGTACCCGACGGCGTAATAGCGTCCCTTAACGAGCTCAGCGAAATCATAAAATCCATGCTGCCGACCGAGGAACTACGACAGCTCTTCAGCACTACTTATGAATACATCATAAAACACGTGAAACACGAGAAGGTAGGATTCTTTCATCGAGTTATTACGTCACACTTTGCCATTTCGATTAACGGTGTCCTAATAAAGTGTATTCTGGTAGGTCGATGACGCAAACGAGATCAAGAAGATCTACCAGCGTACGCTCGACGCTACCGCGTCTCTCCTTAAGCTTCTGGAATATAATGACGTCTTGGAGCAACTGGCGAATAATTTGTTCGATGTTAATGTGCCCGTTCAGTTTGATACGTTGACGAAGTTGCCAGTGATCACTTCGGTGAAAGTATCCCTCATTAACCTGATACGCAACAAAGAACTCCCATCCCTTGCGGATCTCTACTACACCTACAGGTACGTTACATTTTTGTTCTTTATAAAAAAACTTTCAATTATAAAAAAATTTATTTATACCCAAAAAAAGAAATAGATGCTCTTTTTAAGGGAACCTTAAACACGGTCTTGTTTTATCGATAAAAATTGTTGCGCACCCTTTTCTTTCTTTTTATTAATTGAATAGAATAATAAATTTTTTTCCACGATTAAAGTACACATAAAAGAATTTTTTTATTTGTTTTTAACATAAAATCGGTAAGTTAGCGCTGCGTTTCTGTCTGTACTTGAATTGTGGAAAAGCATTTAGTATTCTACTCAACCAATAAAAAGAAAAGGGTGCGCAAAAATGTTTCATCAATAAAACAGAACGGCGTTTAGGATCCTCTTAAAGAGAAAAATTCGATTATACTTCAAACAGGCCCACTTTGCTGCTCTCTGACGTCGTGCCGCCCTTCAGCAAGGTCGGTATCGTTGTCGATGGGGGACATTTCTTTACCTTCGACGGCAATCACTTCGGCGTAGCCGGCGAGTGTACATACATCCTGGCCCAAGATATGCAGGACGGTAATTTCTCGGTCGTCGCCAACTTCAACAAAGGCAACCTTATTAGCGTGACCGTTACGGAACCTAAAGAGAGCATCACGCTCAAGAACAATGGCAACGTAAGTTCATTTCTCTTATCGCTGTAAACCAATTTCCTATAAAGCGGCGGCAAGTTACGTCGGTACGAATATGTGACGTGAATCGAGAACGCTTCGGGTTGGCAAATGGGGTGAAGAAGAGAGAAAGGGAAAAACGATGGGTGGGTTGGAAACCACAGATCGTACTCTCATACGGTATTCCGAGTACGAGTCTTATAATGCAATCCCGTATTGAACTGTAACTTTGGAGTAAGTTTACCGAGAGGGGGCTTCAAACTTTGCTGACAGGCCAAACTCTATTATCCTCGCGCCGCTTCTCTCATAGGCGGACCGAGTGAGGGAAGAATAAAAAATTCGCCGTTGTTCGTTCGTCGCGCGGACAACCTCGTTATTATACGAATCTGCAACTTTGGCCTGCCTCTATTTTTTTGCACTCATTTTTTTCCTCGCGAAAATGTGTTTGGCCAACTGCACGTCTCTCTTTTCAGATTCTGGTGAATAACAAGCCGGCCGATTTCCCGGCCAGCACGAAGAATTTGCACGCGTTCCTCGTCACCCCGACTGCACACATCAAGTCCGACTACGGGGTGCACGTCACATGCAGCTACAAACTACCTTTGGTGTGCACAATCCGCGTGTCCGGCTTTTATCACGGAAAATTACGCGGTCTTCTCGGTGACGGCAACAACGAGCAGTATGACGATTACACGTTGCCCTCCGGAAAGGTGAGAAACAGGAGAGAAAATATATACCGTATAAATAAATGAAGAATTTCTCGCGTGCAGAAGTAGGAATCAGACAGTTAATTTTAATTGCATCACGCAATGTTGTTTGAGAAAAAGAAATTTCGCTGAAAAGTACGGGAATTATAATGTTTTTTGCGATTTTCTAAACGATTCGATAAGATAAAGGAATCTTTCTTTGAAAAAGGTTCTCTCTGAATATTACGTCATAATAAATAAATAACAGAGTATTAATATAATTTTCAATTAGAACACTAGTTTATAAAAAAGTATTTATTTTTATTATTTTAAGTCAGATGAGCTGTTTCTTGTAAATTTCTGGATGCTGAAAGGATGCTACTTTTCAGCATGTTGGGTTTCTGAAATAATTGAGATTTAATATGCAAATAATGGTTTTTTTGCGATATTTAAGCATTAATTGTGAAAAAGGTTAACGTTATCTAAAAATTTCAATTAAACGTCATAAATGTATTATACATCCCATAAAATGTATTTTTTTATTTTGATATCTGATAGGTACTGATACTGATTCTGATACTTTTTAGACGCATTAGGATAGATTTAAATATAGAATTTTGCTGAGATATCAAATATTCCGCCTAATGAAGTCATAATTATACTCCTAATTTAAAGTTTTGGATTATAAATACACACATACATAATGTAATTTAGCCTGATAAATTCCACTAAATGTAAATTTATATATAGGGTGTCTCATTTTAATTGCTCCCCTTGAATTATTCGAGATAAATACATTTTCGAAAAAATGTTTCAAACAAAAGTTGTATGATCTAAAGAGGAACAAATAATGGTAAAATCAATTTTGGAAAAAATAATTTTTTCCCAAAAACCTTTTTTCCTCAGAAGCACCTCCATATGAGTAGATTAGCTTTAATCTTTCATAACATGGCTAAAAGTAATATATTGGAATAAAAAATGCATTTATAGGATAAAGAATACATATAATATTTAATAAAATTTTCAGATAACGTTAACTTTTCTCTCAAAAAAAATCTCAAATATCGCAAAAAAATTTTTTACATAGCAAATCTCAATTATTTTAGAAATCTTACGTACTAGTGAAATTTGTTTGCAGCTTTCAAAAATTTATAAGGAGCATTTTGCCTGGTTTAAAATACTTTTTGGCTGTAAACTAGTGTAATTTTATCACAAGAAGAACTGAAATTCATCGAAAAATATAAACAAAAATTTTTTCAAGCTGAAATAGAGTCTTTGTGCATATTACAGAATAATAAATAAATAAATAAATAAATAAATAATGCAAATAATATACTGTTCAGGTATAATAATTATAAATAATAAAAAGAGCTGATATTGATAGCGATTGATATTGAAAATATAAAAACGAAAAATGCTAAAGAAAGTATGAAGACCTGTTATAAATATTTAACATAATCCCCTTTCTATTCTCGGAACCTCTTTCCCTGCTTTCTTTTATATATTCTTGAAACATCACGATAATATCGCAGAACTATAAATCATCGTTCTTTTGTCTTTATTCAAAACTTTTCCCCTCGATCAATAGACAAATGCTTGCGTCGAATGGCATTCCTTCCCGAAGGAATCGCAAATTCCCAAACGTCATCAGCATTCCTTTTCCAGTTTCAAACTAAAACAACCGACGGGAGACGCCATTCTTGTGTGTCTTTTTAAGTGAAAAAAATAAAAGTATCGTATATTTCATAGTTTGATAAAATTTCTTCGCGTTTTATCCTGTCGCTGTCAAGATAAAATCGTATTTTCCACACCACTTTTGATAACGAAAACATAAAGCTTGGGGGAAGAAAGATTTTCGCAAAACGAAAGGATCTTATCTTAGAACGATAAAAAACTTGGAAATGTTTGCACTGATCTCTCTTTATAAAAAGCGCCTTTTTCTCCAATTGAAACAGATTACCGAGAGCGAGACTGAATTTGCCAACGGATACAAATTGAAGCCCGATTGCCCGGCTGTAAACGCGATCGATCACAAGACCCACCAACGTAATCCAGTCTGTACCGAGTACTTCACCAGCGAGAAGTCTACATTGAAGTAAGTGCATTCGTCATTTAAATTGAATTATATTATGTCAAGTAAGAAATATATAAATCAGGCGAAAATTCAGACTTGAAGAGAGAACGAAAGAAGGAAAGTCATATAACATTTCAAAAAATATTGTACATTTATATAAAAATATTACATATATATATATATATATATTTTATATTATATAAAAATATTATATATATATATGATATTTTATATTATATAAAAATATTATATATAATATATATTATATATGTAATATTTATATATAATATGTATATATGTAGTATAGTTTACAGCTAAAAATTATTTTTAATTATACAAAGTGTTTCTTATAGATTTTTGGATACTAAAACGATGCCACAAATCAAATTCACTAGCACGTTAGATTTTCAAAATAATTGAGGTTTAATATGTAAAAAGTGATTTTTGCGATATTTAAAATTTTTTGTAAAAAAGATTGTTCCCTATAAATTTTTCTTACTTCAACTTTTCTTATTTCAATTTTTCTTATTTTACTTTTTAAGTCATGTTATAAAAGCTTAAAGCTGGGAACTACTTTTCATATAGAGATGCTTCTGAGAAAGAAAAGTTTTTTTAGAAAAAAATTATTTTTTCCAAAATTAATTTTACCATTATTTGTCCCTTTTTATGTCAAACAACTTTTGTCTGGAATATTTTTTTGAAAATGCATTTATTTCAAAAAATTCAAAGTAGGCAATTAAAATGGAACACCTTATATATAGAGATATACATTTAGTAGAATTTATTACGATAAATTAACTGTATACATATATCGATAACTTTAAACTATAAATGATATGAGTATAATTATATGATTTCATTATCGTAGGCGGAATATTTGCTACCTCAGTAAATATTCTCTGTATTTAAATCTTTCTAATGAATTAAAAAGTAACATATCGAAATAGAAAAAATGCATTCTATAGGGGATAAACAATACATTTATGACATTTGATCATAATTTTCAGATAAATTTTCACAAACAAATTTTAAATATCGCAAAAACGCCATTTTTCCATTATTAAGTGAAATTGGCTTGTATCCAAAAATCTATAAGAAATATCTTGTCTATTTCAAAATAATAAAAAAATATTTTTTGTAAACTAGTAGTGTAATTTTTATATATTATGCAGTGTAAGTCTTTTTATATTAACAGGCAAATATTTCGAAAATGTATAATTTTACAAAAAAGAAATTTTTCAAATAAAAATTGTATAATCTAGAGCAGCATTTTCTAAATGGTGGGTCGCGACCCGGTAGCGGACCGCAAAAGCAAAATGCTGGGTCGCCTAAAAAAATTATAAATAATAATTCAAGTTCAACTTCTCATCAATAAATTATTTGGTTTTGATTTCTTTACATTTTACATTGTTGTAAGAGTAAATGTTTTATAATTATAATATATAAAAATTGTATAAACATTCAAATCGGTTTTATTTTACCTATAAACCAGTATAGGCAATAAAAAATTTTAGTGGGTCACGAAGGAAAAATATAAAAATAATCGGGCCGCGGAAAAAAAGTTTGGGAAACGCTGATTTAGAGGAGAACGTAGAATGGTAACCTTTATTCAAAACTTCTATTTGAAAAACTTTATTAACAAAATTGCATACTTTAGCAATATTTGCTTGTTAAAATTAAAAGACTCGCGCTGTATATATATACATATATATATATATATATGCACACATATATATGTATGTATGTATGTATGTATGTTATATATGTACATATATAACATGTATATATACATAATTTTAATATTATATCTAAAACTGTAGAGAGAGCACTTATCTCTCTTTGATAATAATAAAATGGCCCTTAGAGCTTAATCTTATTGCGAGACAGCCGCACTTTGTATATATTGTATATATTTGAGATTGCATTCTCTCCTTCAGCAAGAGAGAATATACAAGAAACAATATAATCGTCGCGTTAACCGTGTTAACTTGGAAATGATGTTTGTCCGTGATGTTTTAGAAAGTGCTTCAACTACGTTAAACCGGCTCATTACCGAGACGCTTGCGACTTTGCTGCTAACGGAAATCCGCAAGCTCCTTGCTTGCTCGCCGCCGCTTACTACTCCGCCTGCTATTATAAGCGTGTTTACGGAATAAGCATCCCGCCGGCTTGCAGTAAGTTAAATTGTTGACTTATACTACTTCAACACAAAGTACGGATCGAATGTGATATTAATACGCGCATTAATGTAAGGAAAACAACTCTCGTATTGGGAAGTAAATTTCTTCAATTTTACTATTAAGGGGATCCTACATGATTGTCTTCTTTTATCGACCAATTTATTATATTTTGTCGCATTAAGAGACTCCTACATGCTCGACATTACCAAGTACGCGTTGACAGTGACGACTTAATTCAAAACGGAAATAAGAATCTCTATATATTGTTTTATCGACAAAAAATATATAATAATAAAAGAAAATAATGTGATTGATAAATAATACGATTTTGTTTATTAATAATAAGCATAAATGACATTTTAGCAAGCTAAATTTTTTTGCGATTTATAACGTTATTTTTCGTTTTACTGCAGTGTTTTTTATGTTTAAAATAATTGCTGTGGTGTTAAAATATACCGACGACTCTTATTTTGGCATAATATGTGAAAACATATAAATATTTATTTTATTTGGATATACCTGTCAAACAGCTGGTTTGCGTCCTTGATTAAGTTTAATTCATAATTCGACATATATACACATATTATTTATTGATTACCCAAATAAGAGGAGAGTTTTCAGTATATTTTACATGTCTATTCTATCGATTTCAAACGCTATTTTATTGAAAAACATTTTTATTTTAACGCAAGTCGCAAGAATTTTCATGACATTTTCTTGCTTCTGACGTCATCAATTCAAGATGGTTGCAGCATATAGAAGCCTTAATTTGACAAAATTAAAAATGCTTCTCTACGATTACAATACATACATCAATGATCCCAGAGAAGTTCGATTTCATATGAAAAACGAGAAATAATTACGAAATTACAGTTTTCCTTATTTCCTTATTTATAAAATTATTTATAGAAAATATTGTTATTTATTCTTCTCTTCATCTTTATTTAGAATATTTATTTATAATTTATATGTTTGTAAAATAAATATTGCATATAAAATTTTAATTAATAATAGATATATATTTTGCCACATTATAAAATTCAATGAGAGAAACAGCTTATACATATATAAGTATTTTTATTTTATATTTTAAACATTATTCTTATGTGTATAAAATATACATAAATTAATATTATTATTAATATTTTCACGTTAATATTGTGTGATATTAAATTTCTCTCTTCATAATTATAAATTTATGTAAAACATTATTTTAAAGAATAATACGATTGTAAAAAACTCAGTTGCGTAAATATTGATTACTTTAGAAAAGAAATAAATATAATATAATTGTCATTTTTATTATTCGTATATTTTAGCAAGTTGTAAGGTAGGCGAAAACGCAATCTCTGTGGGTGACAGCTTCAGCATCAAGACCCCGAAGAACCAAGCTGATATTGTTTTCATAATCGAACAAATCGCACAGAACGAAAAGGTCTTCAAAGATCTGCTACCAACATTGATGACCGATCTGAGGGAGGAATTAAAACAACAAGGCATAACGTATGTAAACGTTACTTGTTTTTTTTCATTTTATTTATATTTTTATTTCTATTTTATACACTATTATATTTTTTTTTTTTCTAAATTGTTGTCCTCAAATTTTTTTGCTCTTTTTATCTAAAACATCTTCAATAGACGACGTTAAATTATGAAATTATCAAAATTAATTTTATATTTTTATACATTAGTGGATTCTGACGTTAATGATGGGGGAAAGGGTCAACAATTTTTTTATTGCCCTCAACTTTTGCTTTAGAATCAACAATGAAGAACGTGGTGAAATTTTTAATTCTAGTTTCACTTTTAAAAAATTTTTTTATATATTTTTTACTTTTTTTAATATTTTTTTACACATTTTTTCCTTTATTTTAATATTTATATAATTTTTATAAATATTAAAATTTAATAAAAATTAAAACTTAAAATATTAAATATAAAATAAATTAATAAATTAATAAAATTATTATTTAAGAGAGAAATATTATAAATATTTAAATTTAATCAAATAAAATTAAAACTTTAAATATACCATAAAATATTAAACATAAAAATAATTATTCAAATAATTGCCTTCGAGTTCTTCTTCTCATCTTCAATAGATGATACTAACAATAAGACAAAATTAGCAAAATTGATTTTTTTCTTTTAATTTAAAAGCGAGAGGAGTTTTCACCCTAAACTTCCCTCTCTCTTTTTAGAATCGAACCAGTGCACTTTTATCACATCTATTTTATAACAGGGACGTCCACATCGGTTTAATCGGTTACGGCGAGCACATGAAGTGGCCGCAACACTACACTTCCGGCGGCAACCTTAACATCGAGGGCGACGTGAAGAATATAAAATTCGAGAAGTTGGATCCGCTTATCACTTTCGAGGTAACTTGCGCGTCAAACGTTCAATCTTTTTAAATTTTTCTATATTTTTACATTTTTCTTTATTATAATATTTATCTAATTTTTATAAATGTTAAAATTTAATAAAATAAAAATTAAAATATTAAATATAAAATAAATTAATAAAATGATTATTTAAGAGAGAAATATATAATATTTATAAATATTAAAATTTATAAATAATATATATTAAAATTTAATGAATAATTTAAATAATATATAATAATATTTAAAGTCTTCTCGATAGTATCGGAACATTTTCGAAATACATATATCTGTGTGTCGTGCTTAGGAGGCCAAGGCAGGCAACTTCGAGAAGCGCATGCAGTATCTCGAGCAGAGGCTGGACATGGAATTCGGTACCTTCAAGCTGACAGGCGCTTACGAGGAGGGCATCAATTATCCGTTCAGACCCGGCGCGGTCAAGGCTGTCGTCGCAATTATCGCCACCCCGTGCGAGAAGAGTCCGTTGCCTCTGTCGGTGAGAGAGTGTTTTTCTATTTTTACCCCCTGTCAAGTATTCTAAGATATGCTCGTCGTGTCACATTCAACGATCCGTCTAACTTTAACAGCAGTTTATAATCGATTCTTCGCTCTCTCTCCCTCTTCCCAAGCTTTCTCTCTCTCTCTCGAATTGTAATTCTCCATACGGATATCCAGAGGGATATTCGAGTATCGGTATTAAACTAAGATTCAAGTCAATTTCATGGAAAAAATTTTTATGAAATATTCTTTAAATATTACACACACACACACACTAGTTTAAAAAAATATTTTTTTCTTTTAATTATTTGAAATAAGATGAAAGGTGTTTCTTATAGATTTTTGGATACTAAAAACAATGCCACAAGCCGATTTTCGCCGATCATTTCTTCAATTATTTAGGTTTCCTTAATATGCAACAAAATGGCTTTTATTTTTGTGATTATTTAAATATTTTTTTGCAAAAAAGATCAACGTCGTTTTGAAATTCTAAAGGCATAAATATACTGTTCCCTTATAAAATACATTTTTTTATTTCGATATCTTACTTTTTAATTATGATTGTTCACTATATTTATATATAAGGTGTCTTATTTTAATTGCCCATCTTGAATTTTTTGAAACAAATGCATTTCCGAAAAATGTTTCAGACAACAATTGTATGATCTAAAGGGGATTAAATAATAGCAAAATCGTTTCTGAAAAGAATAATTTTTTTTCCAAAAAATCTTTTATTATAAAATAATACAAAATTTAAATCATAACAACAGATTACATTTTAACCTAAAGTTATATAATTATTAATATTAATAAGTGTACATACAATATTAGACAAATATTTATGGAATAAATATGATTGCTCGAGTATGAGAATCTATAAAACTCAACTTTTATTAATGAAATTAAAAGAGAACAACCTGTAGACTGCATTTTCTTAGATAACCAAAGCTGAATTCACACCGACAAGCTAATTACTTCGTCGTTCACTTCCACCACTAAATTAATAATTACACGAAGGAAAAGCAATTAAGACAGTTTCTAAGAGAGTATTTACCAGATAAATAGTACAATAGATAAATACAAATGTACAAGATATTATGGTCTCCTCATTCTTCCATACAATAAATTTATTTATCACCGGTGTTTGCTGTTATCTAAATAAAATTATATATATATATAGATAATCATCCAGATAAAATTTTGACGTCATTATTTATCTTTATATAGATATCCTTTGTAGAAATGTATCACTAGTAACGCCAATTAATCACTTATTTCGAGTACTTAAAATACTGCTATACAGTAATTTAAATACTCGAAATAAGTTATAAATTGGCATTACTAGTGATAAATTTCTATAAGGGAATAAAAATATATTTTACCTATGTCTGCACTTTAGATGAAAAAAGTGTTATCTTTACTAAATTATAGAATAAATGTTACTAGAATAATGTTCAGATAATTTGCTTTAGAGCCATATAGCACATAAAAATACTTAAGTAGTAGAACTCAAGCGATAAAAATTTATAAATAAAAATACGAATATATTTTTATATTTCTCTTATAATTTACATCTTTTAAAATAATTGTGTTTACATAAGCAATTTTAAAAATAGTATTATCTAGAAGTTATCTAGATAAATCGTTATATATAATTTAATATATAATTTAAATTCAAAATTATTTTCATCTTATTTAAGATAAATTTACATATTTTCATCTCTCATCTATATGTATATCTCTCTAGATAATTTTAAAATCATCTAAGCGATAAAAATTTACAAATAAATATATAAATATATTTTTGTCCCTTTTATAATTTACATTTTTTCAAATAACTGTGTTTACATAAACGATTTTAAAAATAATGTTATCTGGAATTTTATCTTTTATCTAGATATATTTAAATTCAAAATCATCTTTATCTTATCTTGAATGATTTCATCTTTTTCTAGATAATTTTATAAAATCATCTAAGCACAACACTGTTTATCACTATGACGCTAAACGATGACGTGTTCCGCTTTTTCTAGCTGCAACAATTGAGACTTATAGTCGGGGAGAAGATATACCGAGACTTGGGTCTGACTTACTATCAAGTGTACTACCCGGGTGAGATCCAAGTATCCGGTAAACCGCAGAAGAACATCGTCGGTTACGACAGTGACAACGTCTACGTATTCGCCGACAGCAAGAAGAAACCCCTGAGCGGAAACAGCGAGCTCAGAAACAACCTGATCTTCCCTACCATCGACGTGTGCGCCGATTTTGCTGTCGCGGTAAGTGTAATTGGAAATTTAAGAAAAAGAGGGAATCAGTAAATTAGCGTTGAATGTTATAAAAATGAGACTAATCACGTTCGATTAATTTAAAAATTTTATTAATTCAGAAATAAAATAAAATTAATTAATTTAAAATATTATTAATTTAAAATTTTTCTCCACTGAATGCGACCAGTAAAACAAATATAAAGCCATGAAATATATTAATATATTAAATTTATTGAATAATATATATTAAATTTAATAAAACAAAAGTAAAATTATAAAATATATATATTAAAATATTAAATATATTAAATAATATATTAAATCAATATATTGTATTTTAAAAAATGTGCAAATTTTGGAAACCAGCTTTCTCATTCTCTATAAGCTGGTTTTTCAATTTTGACTTCCTAAAGGAAACTTAATGAACGCGAAATATGTAGAATAGTGAGGAAGCAATTTGCACACTTTTCATATAAAATAACATTTTTTGTCATATATATGTACATATATGAGTGTATGTATGCATGTATGTACCTATTTTTGTAGGTTCCTTTCATATGTTTTTTTCGCAAAATTTTTTTCGAAAATTGCCTTTTATTGAACAATTTTTAATTTTATAAAAATGTATAATAAATAACAAAGAAATTTTGATTTTTATATAGAAATATATTTTTTCGTGATTACAATTGATACAAATAAACATAAAAATACTTTAATTTAAAAATAATACGTTTATAGCTTATAAAAAAAACAATAATAGTATTCATTGTCAAAAAATAACTTAAGAAAAAGTTAATAAGTTTAAAAATAAGGTCAAAAATAACTAGTTAAAAATTAATACACTTTCAATTAGCTAAGCTAAGTTAAAAGTTATTAACTTTTTAACTTTTAAACTTTTAACTAATTAACTAGTTATTACCCAACCCTAATATAAATATATAAATAATATATTAAATTAAATATATAAAATAAATTAATAAAAAGAAATCAGTCGCTTCGAATATAACGAATAAACTATATCGAATCATCGTTGCAGTCTGGCGGAGCGGCGTTCATTTCCAACAACCTGGTGGATGGTAAACCGAATCAGAAGAGACAGTTCGCCCAGGTCGCTGCCAGAAGAATCGCCGAGGGTCTCGTGAGCGTCGAAATGGAAAAGGATTGCACATGCGAGCAAGTCCATGGACTTACCGGACGTTCTTTTTGTAAGATCGTAGAACGCAAGGAGAATGAACAAGCGGTAAGATTTCTATATTTCAGTTCGGACACACATTTTTATATATTATTTTTATAATATTTATATTATTTTATATAATATAATTAGACAAACAAAATTTTTATTTATTTATATTTTATTTAAATAATTTATTTTCTTTTTTTATATATTGCAGAAACACACGAAGGCTGGAGTAAAGGGTTAAAAAGAAGCCACAGTACTGCGCATATTATAATTACTAATTAAGTAGATTTAATGTATTTGTTACACTATCGTAAAAGCCTCCTTTGATAAATGATTTTATTAATCTGCGGAGTATGCAGATATTTTTTATAGCGAAAAGAAGAAATCGCGGATACAAGACTCGAATTGTGCCTTATTATGACAATAGTTCTTTTTTTTAACGTAACATAAAATATTAATTACGTGCGTAAATTAGTGCAAATGCGATAAATTAATATATTTACTATTTATCGACTTACAACCAGATCGATGTTTTATAGAGAAATAAACATTGAACATACTTAAAGAAAAAAAACTCCGGCAGTGCCTCGTATTTCAGTTAGCAATAAATTTTCGTATATAAGAATTCGCGTTTACGGGAAAGAAAATATAGAACACATTTATATCACATGCGTACATAATTCCAGGAAAAGCTATATTGATTATCTTGAAGAATCTATATCTTCGCGTCATTATCTGACCTCGACATCGAGCGTTAAAAAAATATCGATTCTATCGTGGGATAAGATATTTAAACTTCGGAAGGAGAGGTATGCCGTGATTTTTTTTATATATTTGTGTAAAAAAGCAACACGCATTTTCAGTTTACCTGGCACGATTTGTCCTCATATAATATTCTAAAAATATAGAATTAATTGTTTGAATCGCGTCTCATTATCGATTAAATGAATTCCACATTCTTCAAAGTTGCATAATAAAACAAGACGTTATAGATGTTGTAGACGATACTTGATTTTTCATTAATGTGAAAAGACTAAGACTCGCATTCTGACAATTCCCTCTCTTTTCTTTCTTTATAAAAAAAATGCAATAATATTCTTAATTATAATACATTGTAGAAAAAAATTATTCCTATTTTTTTTCTTTTCTTAATATGTCTCCCGAGAAAAAAAGAAGTTAGAGGCCTTATGCAAAGTTAAACATACTTACATTCGACAGTCAAAACGCTTAAGCAAATTATGACACGTGAAAACGCAATTCAATTGCGATTGAGGGGATGTGACTTGATGCGTGTCGTCGAATTAACTGTAAATATACCAGATCTGTAATATTATTGATACTAAATGTAGAGAAAATGTGTCCTGCGTGATCTTGATTGTAAATGGTAGATTCTCCAATCAATTTGTAGTTTCGATTTTTTTCATTAGCAATAATGTCGAAATACGAAGAGAGCAGCGACTTTCCAATTTTTCGACATTACGTTTATCTTTTTATTTAGCCAAATTATCGAGGATTAGACATTTTATTAATGTAAAATCTACTTGAAGTTAAATAAAAATATTTAAAAAATTATTTGTCTTTGTCATTTGTTTTAGCTTATTAAAAAGAAACTTATATTTTCCAATCGCTTGTAACTCAAAAATTACTATTTATTCCAAAAAAATATCACTATTTACTCCAAAAAAATTCTTCGTTAAAATTAAAGTAAAATTAAAATCGAATTGAAACATAATTTTTGTAACATCTCGTAAATATATTGAGATACAAATTAAACTTCATATCTTTCGATATCTATAATAAATGTTTTATAACTTTTTATTTAAGCTAAATCATCGAGGATTAGTAATTTTATTAACGTAAAGTCTACTTTAAGTTAAATAAAAATATAAAAAAATTATTTGTTTTTATTATCATGTTATTAATGTCACTTATTTCCATATCTTTGAAAGCTTAGCTTATTAAAAAAAACTTATTTCTTCCAATCACTAACTCGAAAAAGATGATCATTATTTACTCCATAGAAAATTCAAGGAAGAAAAAATTAGAAAAAATGTCAAATACCTTCGTTAAAATTAAAGTCGCGAATTGAAACATATTTTCTATAACATCGTAAATATATCGAGATATAAATTAAACTCCACATACCCTTCGATATTCGTAATGAACGTCGTTAATCTCGAGAATACAATTCTCGTGTGTAAAATAAATACGATATTATCTTTTTATTACTTTGAGGAAAATTACTATTATTAAGGGTATCGTAAAATCCATCGGTGAGAGAAAGTATATTTTAAGAAAATTTAAATTAATCGAGAAGGAGAGAGATGAAAGATTAAAATCGCCTCCTATTTATTTTTCTCGCCAACTAATTATTATTAACAGTAAATCTGTATATTTATATAAAAATACCGAGATTGTGCGATAAGCGGCTCCGAACTATTTTTATATGCGAAACAGCAAAAATCTGCCTCTACGCGAGCGACAAGAATTTTTGCTTGAACGACACAAGTCATCCGCCGACTTTATATGTTGAATTATGCTGCTGCTGCCGCTGTAAAGGTACGATTGTGACGTCAAGAGCGAACGCGAGAGGCTTTTGCCTGCAATATTCCTTTCCCCGAGTACGTACAATGCGCTTTTACATAAATTCGGTATAAGCAATGGCGTAAGAACGTTTTCCTTGAGCGCATTCTCGCTTCCTATGATATACTTATATTAGCGTTAAAAAGCGTGTACTTTATTAAAACATGATGCACATCTGCACACACAATGTTTCTTATTTTATCACAATAAAAAATAGGGGAAAGTATGCTATAAATCGTATCGTTCGTTAAATCAATCTCTACTGTATTTCTTAAACAGAGTTAAATTATTTTAATAAGATATTAATTCTGCTTAAGAAATACAGTTGATGAGTGACATTCATAAATATATTTTATGAGATTTTTATATTTATATGATTTTAATATGTGGCATCTCTAAGCTATCACATTGAGGAAGATAAGCAATTAAACTTATTATTAAAGCATTTTTTCATTTTATTTCATCTTAGCAAATCAATATTACAAATTGTACCAAATACTACTTTTTTTATTTTTACGATATGAAACAATAATAAATTTAATTTGTATTAATGTTTTGCGTATATCGTTGACAAAGAACCATAATTTTCAATAAATAAAAAAATTATGTTATTTTCTTTGATAGTTTTATCGCAAGGAGGTACGATTTAGCATACTTCCTCCTATATGGGAAAAATCTCACGGTGAAATGCTAGAGAAGGAATAAATAACTAGAGCCAGAGTCCTTGCTTTCCATTCTGAAATATATATATATTTATTAAACTTTTTATATTTTTAAATATAATATATATGTCCAGCGAGCGCTACCTATCGGTGCGAATCATAAAAATTATCAACTGAATTTCGAGAATTTCACTTTTTGCCGAACGCAACGCGAGATTTAGCCGATATAGCTTATTTTATTACAAATAAATAACTATGAAGATAAGAAAAGAAGAATCGTGAGTATTCCAATGGAAGTATTATTTAATTATATCTCTTTTTTTATTTTGCGAAGAAACTATATGCGAATGTCAAAATACTACTCTCGCGATATACCTCACCACACACACATACACACAGTCTATACAGTATTAATCTTTATCTACGTGATAACTATTCTTTTTTTTATTCTGGTCTTAAAAGTTGGTCTAGTTGCTTTTAAATTATGTATAATTTCGCCAACCTCCTCTCGCGATCCACCTACTATACTGACGCTTGTTACGTTACTTGATACACGATCGTGCGGATTTCACGATCTAATATCGTTTGACAGACTCAATAATTTTTACGAATATATATATATTTATACGCAAGATAGTAGTAAACGCGAATGACACACTTTACAAAGCAGACAATCGGTATTTATAATAGTTTATGTGAATCGCGTTACAGAGTTAATATATATTTTACATAATATATTATATATAATACACATAAATATATATTTATATATATTTATATATATAATATATATTAATATTATATACTATATATATAAATATATATATATATATATATATATTTATACATATAATATATATTTTTTTCTAATCCACAGGGCGGGGAAGTCTGCAAGAGACGGGTTCATATATTATATTTAAACCCCAATGATCATCGAACCAAGAACTTTCTCGAATAATATCACAATTTATGTCAGCGATGATAAAACAGCGCCGACAACGCCGAATTTCATTCCTGTTCAGAAACGAAACGCGTCTTTCAAATACATATGTATATATATATATATATATATATATATATATATATATATATAATATGTATAACAAAAAAATGCATATAATACAATAAAATTAATCGAACGATTGATTAGAGATTTACGGAACCGCGTATAATATTTGTATACATATACATATATACGCAGAAAATAATAATAATAATAATTTCAAGTATTTAACGTAAGGACGGTAAAGGAATCCCTCGTAATATATATATATATATATGTTTAAACAGGAGCTCTCTATATCGAGAATAATCTTAATGATAATAATTACATCCCACGCATGTCACGCGATGCAGAGAAGAGTGGCGTATGAAATAAAGGACAGTCATAATATCCGTTCATATTAATCTTACATCTGTACGTTCTTCTTTACGGAGCAATTAATTCCCCTCCGATCGTTGTGTGTTACTTAGATGAGAATGAAAGTGGCTAATGGTTTTTCCCTACAGTATTCCGCTACTACGGCGGAATTGAAATAAAGTCTTGACATTTTGCGGAATACACGACATATGTATATACACAATGACCCAGAAATAAACTTTTGTTCTCGAATTGCAAATTCCTGATCAAAGACTAAAAACTACAAGTCTCTCCTTTTTTCCGATTAAAGAGGAATTTCAGCGCGCGAGAGTTTAATTGGCTGTGGATGGCATCTCCTGAATCCCCAATTATCGTTACTTTCCCTCAATCACCTTCTTCTAAACCGGAAATTTGGAATTCTTATTTGTCAAGTTAAATATCACCTAAAATTTTTTTTTTTAATATCCCTCTTAATCTCGATTTGCCGAAATTGCAAAGCATTATTTCTTTTAATAGTACACGGACTTCTGAGCCATCCTATATATATATAATATTTGTGGAATCAAGAGAGAGAAAGAGAGAAAGCAAGGCCGGTGAAGGCGTACATATACATTTAAATTTATGGAAAATTTTTTCTTAGAAAATTCTCATGCACCCGGGCACTTAGCGATAATTAATTAACCCATTAAATATCGTGGACGTCACGCACGCTTTTTACGACCCGAGGCGCCCCGGACGTCATCTCCGTCAGCGCGCGATATATGTTTTATCGATTGGATTTCCTCTCTCTTTGTATACTTACAGTCTTACTATAGACTCCCGGTGTCACATACATACATCGAAACTGCCCTAGAAGAGAGGAGAAAAAAAATTAAAAAGTTTCACATGCGCGCGGGTAAAATGTCATCAAGCCGCTTCGCGGCTCCATTTCGCGTAATGTAGTATATCGCTGCCGCCAACGGTTTGCTGCTCTACCCCTCCAGGAACAAAGAATTATTACACACTTTCACTCTCCTCTTTCGTGTTATAATTACGTAAGAGTAAGACAGACGCGAAAGATTTTATTTCGTACACATGGTATATTTTTTTCCCTTACCTTCTCTCCTCCTCCTTGGAAACTTTCTTGCTAAACAGTCTTGACAGTTTCTCCGGAAATCGAATGAATACACATTTTATTCCCCAGATTACACGCGCGCATACACACACACATACACGCATAAGTACACCCACATACACATATCACGATTACATAATTTATATGTATAAATCACAATCGCAATTTTTTTGTCTCTCGTACGATTGCACTTAATTATTACATATATGTATATATGTGTGTATATATATATATATGTATATATTTATATATTGTACAGTGAAACCTCTGTACTCATAAGCATAGTTTTTTCTTTCGCAAATGTGCGACTCCCCCGGAGGAATTTTTCGTTAAGGTTAAATCCCCTTATAAACCCCCAAGTACTTTCCTACCTTCTTTTCAAGCTTTGCTTTAAATAAAAATGTACATATCATTATACTGTTCAACACAAAAAATTACCGGCACGAAATTAATCGTTTTTTTTTTTTTTTTTTAGTGTTTTGGACGCTGAATACAAATCTGTCTTCAAAATTACTCCATCACGTCACAATATTAAGAGACATGCAATTAAAGTTGCAAAAAAGAGTTATTTTCACGAACTTTGTCATATTAGAGCTACAATAATTAATGCGACGTGCTAAAGAAGTTTTCTTGCCACTAAAATAAGGTATATTATTAGGACTTTCAACCCTCAATAGGCATTTTCGATATCGGTTATAGTTCATAAAATATACATAGTTGAATATAGGGTATTGCAGAAGTTAGCTGTGATTTACTTAGGTTGACAAGATACAAACAATTTTATTATTTATTTATTCTTAAAGGTCTTTTAGGTCACTGAATACGAAATCAATGTCAAAATTGTCAAATTCAAAATAGTACTCAAAATAGGGGATATAGAAATTAAAAAAAATATTTTTTATAAATTCGTTAAATTCACCATTTTGATAATTTTGACATTGGATTCGTATTCAGTGGCCTAAAAATCTTTTAAGAATAAATAAACATGATTAAAAACTGTTTGTAACTCGTCAACCTAAGTCACTTATTTAGTCAGCTAACTTCTGCAATACCTCATATTCAACTATAGATATTTTATGAACCACATTAACATCGAAAATTCCTATTGAAAGTTAAAAGTCCCAACAATAGACTTTATTTTGATGACAAAAAATTTCTTTAGCACGTCGCATTTTGTAGCTATTACGACAAAATTTGTGAAAATAATCCTTTTTTGCAATTTTAAGGCTCCTGTATACTCAGGGGCCATCTTGGGTTGATAACGTCAAAAGTGAGAAAATATATCATAAAAATTTTTGCGACTTACGTTAAAATAAAAATGTTTTTCAATAAAATAGCGTTTGAAGTCAATAAAGCAGACATGTAAAATATATCGAACTCTCTTTTTGTTTGAGTAATCAATAAATAATATGTGTATATGTATATATCAAATTATGAATTAAACCTAATCAAGGACGCAAACCAGCTGTTTGACAAGTATATCCAAATGAAATAAATATTTATATGTTTTCACATATTATGCCAAAATAAGAGTCGTCGGTATATTTTAACACCACGGCAATTATTTTAAACATAAAAACACCACAGTAAAATGAAAAATAACGCTATAAATCCCCAAAAAATCTTAGCTTGCTAAAATGTCATTTATGCTTATTATTAATAAACAAAATCGTATTATTTATTAATCATATAATTTTTCTTTATTATAGTACAATTTTTTATCGATGAAACAATATAGAGATTCTTATTTCCATTGTTTTGAATTAAGTCGTCACTATCAACGCGGACTTGGCAATTGAGTATGCAGGAGCCTTAATCTTAATTGCATGTCTCTTAAAATTGTAATGGAGCAATTTTGAAAACAGATGTTCAGCGTCCAAAAAGCTACATATAAGAAACGGCTAGTCTCGTTCCGGTATTCGAAAAAAAAAATCATTTTTTGTCGAACAGTGTTATATTATTCTTGTAATAAATTTGTACCCGCAATAACAAGGTTTAATCGATATATATATATATATATATATATATATATATATATATATATATGCTACGATAAATTGCTACATAATAATAAAGGACGATAAAGAGAAGAGAGAGAAAGAGAAAGAAGAAAAAGAGATCAGTAGTTGCCACTTTGTTCGCTCCTACCGCATATTGTATATAAATTTCAAATAAACCTCGGTAAGGCAGTGCCAGCTCGGTGATACACGTAAGGTGGGGGCGGCGGGCCGGAGAAGTGCCTCTGATGCTGATGAGGAAGCGAGGATCGGTGGGCCTCGATGCTTCCGCCACTCGACGGGGAGATGTGCGGCAGGAGGTGCGACGCCCCGTCACCGAGATCCAATTCCAGTTCCTGTTCCTCGATTAAATGCAAAGCGCCGAAGGAGGCCGTCGCCATCGCTACGTCCGGCATCACGCCCGACAATTGGCCGTCGCTACACGAGTTGGCCTCTTGTTGCTGTGAATAAGAAATAAGACCCATCTCTTGCATTTCATCCGATATTCTCGAATCGGTTAAGGTTACCACACTAATCGAGAGAGATTTTGCAACCAAATTTTAATAAAAAACAAAAACAAAAAAAACAAAAAAGAAAAACAGAGAGGGAACAGGAAAAAGAAGTAAGGACGCTTCAGTCAGGTTTTAGGTCGGTCCCCCGTTCGATAATCCCTCGGGATAGGGCGGGAATCTACCACGAAGCCTCCTGGCCCTCCCTCAGGGGTCAGGACGGTGAAGTTTGGTTTTGGCAAATTTCCTGACTCAAAAAAAAAAAAAAAAAAAAAAAAAAGAGAGAGAGAGAGAGAGAGAGAAGAAGAAGAAAAAAAGATAAGAAAAGAAGGAAAAGAAGAAAAGGAAGAGAAGAAAGAAAAAGAAGAGAAGAGAAGAAAAAGAAAAGAGGAAAGAGAAAAAGAAGAAATAAAAAGATAAAAGAGAAAAAAGAAGAAAAGAAGATAAAAAGGAAATAAAAAAAAAAAAAAAGGAGAAAAAAGAAGGAAGAAAGAAAAAGAAGAAGAAAAGAAGAGAAGGAAGAAGAAAAGAAAGAATAGAAAAAAGAACAAAATAAAAAAGAAAAGAAGAATAAAAGAAAGAAGAAAAAGAAGAAGAGAACACGAAAAAGAAGAAAAAGAGAAAAATTCCACAATACATACAAGAAGAGAAAACAATTTCATAAGAAAGTTTCGGTTGCGCCAGCGCAGCTTGGATTAAATTAGACCGATTTAGTAATCTTCCTCATTTGCCAGATTATAATCTCAGTTTGCGATACACAAGACCGAACAAAGGAAACCTAATTAAGAAAGTTGCGAGGATCTAAGCGCGAGCGAGTGAGCGAAAGACGCAACCGAGCCTAAAACGCGAGATTATAAAGTTGCTCTCAGTGCAATATATCGGTGTATGCGCGCGTACACATACATATATGTTATAGAGTAGCGTTAGCTCGTCTTCTCCCTTACCTCGGCCAGAAGTCTGCAGCTCTCTCCCTCGGTCACTATAGCTGGAAGTTCGTGTCTATGTGCGTAAGACGAAGTCGGCCGAGGAAATGTCATGTTCCTCCCGTAACACACCGGGGCGGTAGTTCTCACACGAATACCCATGCCCGGCGAGTCAATGTCCTCTATATCTGTCATCCTCTGCTCGTTTTGCTCTTTCATACTGTAAGACGCTGTGTTCTGAAATCAATATCACGGGCAATTTATCGCGCGCCGTCCGCTAAATGAAAGATGCATTAAAAGCCGGGAATAATATGGAGAGAAAGAGAGAGAAGGAAAGAGGAAGATCGCGGAATTGGAGCGGTTTGTGAACGTATGTGTACAAGATACATATATATATATATATATATATATATATATATATTGAATCCGGAGACATATATATATATATATATATATATATATATATATATTGAATCACCGCGATCTCGAGTGTCGAATAAAACGAGGCTAATGACATAAATAGACGATGCGTAGCGCGAGAATTAGAGTCGATTGGTCGAGAGCTCACGCGGGAAGAACATAGAAACGTGCTCTGATAATGGAGGTGAAGCTCTATCGTCGGAAAGAGACAGAGAGAAAGAGGGAGGAAGGATTCTTCCCCTTCGGAAATGGAACGCGACCTAATTCATATGTGATCTGCATGAAGAAATGACATATGTACAGGGTGTTTCTGAAATACTTGGGCAAAATTGTAGGATGTATTCCTCGCGTCAAAATAAAGAAAGAAGTTTATATGTACTCATAGTCAAAAATGACTAGTCGCGAAGTTATAGTAACACAAAGTTTAGGTCAACGTTATTGTGAGAAATAATCATAACTAACTTAACTGATAAAAAATATACAAATTGTGTCTCCATTTGGTTGAAAGCAAATTGTTATCTATGAGGATATTTAAAACGTCTAAAATCTACTATTTGCAACCTATTGATAACGAAGAAATACCAATATATTACACTAGTTTATAGCCAAAAGTTATTTTAAACCAGACAAAGTTTTTTTTTAGATTTTCGGATGCTGAAAGTGATGTCGTAAATCAAATTTCACTAGCACGTTAGATTTCCAAAATAATTGAAGTTTAATGTGTAGAAAATGGTTTTTCTTGCAATATTTAAGATTTTTTGTAAAAAAAAAAGTTAATCTTATTTAGAAAGTCTGATCAAATATCATGAATACATCGTTCATCCCCTATAAAATGCATTTTTTATTTTAATATTTTATTTTTAGTCATGTATGCCTGAAATATTAAAGTTGGAAATTATTTTCCATTTGAGGAAGTTTTTTTGAAAAAAATATTTTTCCAAAATTGATTTTACTCTTACTTGTCCGCCTTTAGATCATACAACTTTTTTTGAAAATGCATTTGTTTCGAAAAATTTAAGGTAAGCAATTAAAATGAGATCCTATATAGAAATATATTATTTAGTGGAAGCTATTATGATAAGCTACACTCTGTATCGATAATCGCAAACTACAAATTATGAGTACATAGTATATAATTTATGATTTTATCATCATACGCAGAATATTTTCTACCTCAACAAAACTATATATTTAAATTCTTCCTAACGTGACTAAAAAATAAGATATCAAAATAAAAAAAAATTAAATCAAAATAAAAATCGAAATAAAATTTTATAGGGGATGAACAATTCACGATATCTGATCAAAATTTCCAGATAACATTAACCTTTTTTGCAAAAAAATCTCAAATATCGCAAAAATATTTTTTGCATATCAAACTTCAATTATTTCAGAAATTTGACTATTGATAATTGGCTTGCATCGTTTTCAGCATCGAAAAATTTATAAAAATACCTTGTCTGATTTAAAACAATGAAAAAAATTTTTTTATGAATTAATGTTATTTAATAATAATGTTGACATACATTTTGTTTTGCTATAATTTCGCAACCAGTCATTTTTTACTGTAAATTATAAATAAACCTTTTTCTTTATTTTGACGCGAGGAATAGAGCAGTTCTAGCAGTTCGTCCAAGTATTTCAGAAACATCTATTTACACTCTATTTACAGAGTGTTTTATTTTAATATCCCACCCCAAATAACTTTTTTATTGTAGAAGAAAATATTTCAGACAAAAGTTGTATGGTTTCGAGGGAGACATAAGATGATACCATTAGTTTGACCTTGAATAGTTACTTGAAGGTCACGTAAAGGTTATCTTCAATTTTTTAAATGGAATCATCTATTTTTCTTGTAACTTATCTCAAAAACTTTCCAAAACCGTATAATAAAATATTTTTCCATTAAGTACTTTCTGAGTTATAAAGGTTCGAAGTTAACAATTTTTTGACATAAAATGTAAAATATTCAGTTTTCGGTAATCATACCTTATGTCTCCCTCGAAACTATACAATTTTTGTTTGAAACATTTTCTTCAATCGAAAATAAAAGTTACTTAAGGTGGGACATTAAAATGGGACACCCTGTATATACAATATATAGCGATTGAAGAGCGATGCTTTGCATACGTTATCGCTGCTGTAAATTAGCAAGCGTGGATGCGACACACATGCGTGATTATTAACTCGATGTGCCCGGGATTCTCTTTCAGAGATACCCTCCCTCCATTAAAATCTCTCCACATCTGACTCTGAATCACAAAATTATATTGCGCGTCTTCTCGATAGACGCGAGCTCGAAAAATTCTCATATAATATGACATAATACTCTTTTCGTTCAATTATACACACACGTGATTTTTTCCTCCTTCTCGAAGCCCCTTCTGTCACTTTTTCAATTAACCGCTCGTCACGCTCTTGTCTATGACGCATTTCCAAACAGGAAGATATTAAATCATTGCATTACATGTCGCGAATCAAAATATAAGCAAGATGGTATCAACACAAAATACAATAGAATCTTCTGCACACACTTCCGCGATATCTACGATAATGTTTACGTGTCAAACAATATCGTCTTATCATAAAGATACTGACGGATTGTATGGGATAAATTGTATAAACAACATGATAGGAATAATATTGTCGAAGAATTTGTGTATATCGCCAATTATGACTAATTAAATCTAGAAAATGAAGATGGGCACACAATAGTGGAAATATTTCAAATTCAAACTATGAAGAAATATTATTATAATTATTTAATATAATGTTATTATATAAAATATATTATAATACAATATTATTATTATTTAAATAGCTTTATTTAAATAAAATATTTAAAGTTTATCTTACTTAATAATTACTCTTAGAAAAATTATTCATTGAAATAATTTTAAAATAATTTTAATAATAATTATTTAATTAAATAATAATTTAAATAATAAAATATTTAAAAAAAATATATATATATATATAATTTCAAAATTATTTAAATAATAATTTTAAAATAATTATCAGAGAATTTCTTCTATTTGAAATTACGATTTGATAAAATATAAAAAATAGGCCTAAAAGAAAAGCAAATAGAATAAATGCAAATAATGTGTGTAAATATTTTACCACTTTTGCAATAAGAGAGAAATAATTATTTCAATTAATAATCTGTAATCTTTGATGGGAAATACATTTATTTATTTCTGATTCGTAAAATCAATTAAATATTTTAAATAAGATTTTAATTAAAATGCAAATAAATAAATTAATTTATTCTATATTAATCATTTACATTTTACATAATCCAACGAGAGGAATAGGTTGCATAAATAGAATGTTCTTTTGTCTTTGATTGGATGTAACTTTTAATATTAATATTAACGTTGTATTAAATTAAACTGATGCAAATATTTTGAAAATGTGTCACATTTATTTAAAGTCTTTTAACAACTTTTACTTTTATATCTTTGTTAATAGTTTAATTTTAATGATAAAAACTGTTTTATTACGAGAGAGAGAGAGAGAGAGAGAGAGAGAGAGAAAGAGAGAATTTACAAATATTTTAATGCACAAATGATATTTCGCGATGACGTATATTGGCGCATATTTTATTCAATCTTAATCAATTATTTAGACTCAAAGACGTAAGCGCGAAATGATTTCAATTAAATACGAATAGCGATATATTGAAATGACGTATATTGGCGCATATTTTAATCCATCTTAGTTAATGAGTTACCTAGAATCGAAATGATTTCGATTAAATACGAATAGCAATTTATTCGATTGAAATAATTATTTATTTTTCTTGTGAATCGGCCTTACATGTCGGTGAATCATTAAAAAAAAAAAAAATTAATGTAGCACGTGCTGTTAAATACAAGATGACGAGATTTCTTTTTTATCTCGCATCATCTAAGTGATACAAGGAAATACAGAAAGTGTAGCAATTATCAACGCAAAAAAAAACTATAATAAATATAAAAAAATCCAATCATTTAACATTAAAATTTATCAAAAAAATTAATTAAATTATTTCTTTATGTTAAATTTTAGAAATGTAAACGTTTCTGTCATCTATATTTTTTTTAAACAATGATAAATATTTGCGAATAAAATACAATAAAAATTATATGAATTAATATTTTTGCGTGACCCACTTTTTCAATAAATGTTTTGTGTACTTAAAAGTAACCCCATTGCGTTTGTTACAGTTCAAAATAAAATCCGATTTATTATCGTACAACTTCTTCTATTTATTGAATAAAAGAATCTATAATTCGAACAATTTCCATATTTATAACGTTTTTTTTTTTTTCGCGCATCTTGTTACCTACATGTTGTTATATAGATATATCCACAAGCTGCAGTGATGCAATACACTGCATGTGTTTAATAATACATATCTGTATTTATTCATGCATAATGCTATACAGCGTATTACAACAGATTGCATGCATTTCATCCGATTGACAGCACTGCAATGTCGTTTCACATGATTCATTCGCTTGTCACCCCGATGCGATACTACTATGTATTATCACCTCCCACCCAGTGTAACCTCGTATAAAATGTGTGAAGCGAAATATCACGACAGATTATTTTTGGTAAAACTGAATTTATATAAAGAAGTTTCCTACAAAAAAAATTTAAAAATATTAAACTAAATATTTAATGTATGATAAAATATAAAAATATATATAATAAAAATAATTATTGTATATATATTAAGTAAAAAATTCATTATTATTATAATTTATGTATATCATATAAAACATATAACCTAATGTTTAATTAATTTAAAACATATATATTTTTTG